TATACACTAATATGTATAAAATAGATAACTGATAGGAACCTGCTGTATAAAAGATAAATAAATAATCTATAAAAATTGGCTATTGTTTTAAGCTGAAAAAAAATTGTGAATTAATAATGTAATTTTATTCATTGATTAAATGGGTGGTATTTATCTACTAATATTTATTTTATAACCCAGACAGACGTACTGTACGTTACTTTGTCCATTGTTTAATTCATCAAAGACGCCTAGAGAAGACAAGGCTTGTTTTCAAAGCTTGACCATGGTGTAAAAAATTAATAAAGGGAAACCTCAATTACATAGAGCTGGGAGACCAGAGGGGGAGCTGTCTTGCCCTGTGACCATAGCAGAGCCCAACAGGAAGAAGAAAGACTCCTCTTCTTTCCTGGCAAGACTCAGCCAGTGAAAAGCCGTGAACTCTTGACTAGAGCCCTCCCAACTTCTTTGTCCCCTCTGTAAAAGCATTCTCCTTCCCTTGCTGCTTGGGGGTAGTCTATTTGTTTCAAGTCAACACTTTCAGAATATATAAATGCCAAGGTTTTCTGATTTAGAAAGTACCCATTTTGGCCAATTAGTTTCTATTTATTGTCTCCTCTGATCCTCATTTTAAAAAATCTGATTATTTTTTGCTTAAGACGAGTTTATCTTTAAAACACATGTGGGGTTTCTTTGTACCTAGAGATTTTACCGTGGGATGGACTTTTAAAAACTGCAATAATAAACAAGTGCAGAGTTTTAAAAAATCATGAAACTGTAGCAAGCAAACTTGACTGTACATCATACAAAGAATAAAATGAAGGAAACTGATATGAGTTGTGGTACAACAATGAGAAGGGGAAATATTAAGATTATATATGAATTATTTGTGATTTCCTGAGAAGTAAAGCCCGCACTTATCATTATTCTTGTGTATCTTCAAACATTTCCAAACTTCAAATGAACAAAAGAAAGCAAGTACAAAACACATAAAATGCCAACATTGAGAAACAGTGGTTACATTTGACTTTTACGTTCATTCTACCATATATATTTCCCAGTCTCTGTTGGAGAGTAGGAGCCTAACTTTGATGGGTACAAAATAGCACACAGAGATGTCCTAATCACAGAGAAAAACAATTGCAAACTCAGGATTAACTCAATGCTCTGGAAGCACCCCATAGATCAACCCCACCTCAGCACTGAGAAACTCTCCTGCCTTTTGTTTCAGTGAAGCTGAGCCCACTGAGTCCTGACCTTTCTCCCTTATTACTGTAGTCTTCAATATCATCTTCCTTCCCTATTTAACTTTTTTGGGTGCAATTTTTTAGATTAATTAATTAACTTATTTATTTTTGGCTGCACTGAATCTTCATTGCTGTGCCTGGGCTTTCTCTAGTTGTGGAGAGCAGGGGCTACTCTTCCTTGCAGTACGCAGGCTTCTCACCACAGTGGCTTCTATCCTTGCAGAGCACAGGCTTCTAGGGACGTGGACTTCAGCAGTTGGGAGATGCGGGCCCTGTAGTTGTGGCGCACAGGCTTAGTTGCTCTGCGGCATGTGGGATCTTCCTGGACCAGAGCTTGAACCCGTGTCCCCTGCACTAGCAGGCAGATTCTTAACCACTGAGCCACCAAGGAAGTCCTTGGGTGCAATTTTTGCTTTGACGAATGTAAAATGTATTACAGAAGTCTTACAGCAATATAGATTTCCTTACCCTTTGTTCTTTATGTTATAGTTGTCATATTAATACCTCAGCATGAATTGAACTTCACCTTCTGAGATTGTGGTATAATTTTTTCCTTCAAAATTCATACTTATAGTAAAATAATTTAAGAGGAGAAAACTAAGCTATCTCATTTATCCAGATGCTACCCCTTCTGTGCCTCTTTCTTTCTTCCTGAAGATGTTCCAACTTTAGGAACTCTTGTGTCATTTCGCTTCAGCCTGAAGAAGTTCTTTTCCCATCATTTTATATCTAGCTACCTGATAATTAACTCTTTTGTCTTCTTTCATCTTCATCAGCCTTTGTTTTATTTTCATTTTTGTTTTGCCTTCAATCTTTAAGGATATCTTGGCTACATCAGTATTCTGAGTTGATATTTCTTTTCTTTCAGTAGTTTATTTATTTATTTATTTATTTATTTATTTTTGTGGTACGCGGACCTCTCACTGTTGTGGCCTCTCCTGTTGCGGAGCACAGGCTCCGGACGCGCAGGCTCAGCGGCCATGGCTCGCGGGCCTAGCCGCTCCGCGGCATGTGGGATCTTCCCGGACCGGGGCACGAACCCGTGTCCCCTGCATCGGCAGGCGGACTCTCAACCACTGCGCCACCAGGGAAGCCCTGAATAACTTTTATATTGCCTTGAAGCTCATTATCTGTCATTATAAACATAGGACAAATGTTTGGAATCTTACTTTATTGTTGACTTTGGTTTGCGAAATTGCCACTGCTCTTTAAACTGTTATAATATAGGACTGTTTAAGGACCAGGCACTACCAAACTTTGAAAATATGGAGACTTTTAGAATTTATGTAATTAAAAATATGATTCTTTCCGTTTGGGGTTAGCCAGTTGGAAAGTTTAAGTTGAAACGTGTCATGATTGAGGGTTTTTTTTTTCCCCCAAATGGTATTTAAGACAACAAACACCCTCCACCCCACCACTTCCTCAGCTAACACCTGGTCTCTCTCCTCCCTTTCACGACAAAGTTCTTGAAAGTGTTATCTACACTCCTGGTCTCCATCCTCCTCACCCAACTTACTCTTCAACCCCGCACCTAAGATCTGGCTTCTGCTCCCAGCTGTCCCTTACATTTCACCCACAATGATCACCAGTAGCCTCTTGAGTGCCTCTCAGACCTGTATTCCTGAACTTATCGGAAGCATTAGGCAATGTGGACAACTTTTTTAAGCTCTCTGGCTTAAGCAGCTACCCTTCTAGACCTCCCCACTTCCCACTCCTCCTTGTATCTTCCTCCCTTTGTTAATAGTACCCTCCATCCATTACCCAGGTACCCAAGCCGGAGAGCTGATAGCCATCCTGTCTTTTCCCTCACCTCATACCTATAGTCACCAACTCCTGTTCACCCTTCCCCCAAGGTAGACCTAGAATCCCATCCCTTCTCCAGCTCAGTCCGGGTCACCTTCCCTCTCACCTGGATCACTGTACAGTGTCCTGACACCTCTCCCTACATATCTACCCCTGCCCCCTGCAATCCATCCTCCCCACAGAAGCAGCCAGACCAGTCTTTCCAGAATGGTCATTTCACCTCTGGTCGCTCCTCTGATTTGCCACCTGCCCTCAGGACAAAGTCAGCGCAGATTCACCTGATATGTGACCCAGTGGATCACTTTCTCTTTCCTAGAACAATGTTTCCACTTGGCTATCAAAACACACGCCTGATTTTTCTTCCACCTCCCTGGCTACTCCTTCTCAGTCTTGTTTGCCGGATGCTTGCCTCTCCCCAATCACTTAATACTATTAAGTGTTTCAGGGCCCAGTCGTTGGTCCTTTTCTTGTCTTGCTCTATACTCACTCCCTTGGTGATCTCATCCAGCCTCATGGCTTTAAATATGTCTATGCTGGTAATTTGTATCTCAACCCCAGACTTCGTCCCTGAAATCCAGACTCAAATATGCAACTCCCTAGCCAACTTGGATCTCACTAGACACTCAAGTTTGCTTCCAAAGCTGAGCTCCCGACCTTCATGCTACACTGTGCCCTGGCCCAGTCTTTCCCTTCTCAGTTAAGGACAATTCCATCCTTCCAGTTGCTAAGGCCAAAGCCTTAGAGTGGTCCTTGACTCTAACTTTTCTCTCACATCACACACTATCCATTAGCAAGACCTGTTTATACTCAAAATATAGCCAGTGAAATGATATGATGTCTGGGATTCACTTCCAAATAATACAGGAGGGGAGATGTGGATGGAGATATCATTAAAACAAGATTGTCTGTAGGTTGGGACTTCCCTGGTGGTCCAGTGGTTAGGACTCTGTGCTTCTACTGCAGGGGGCATGGGTTCAATCCCTGGTTGGGGAACTAAGATCCCGCGTGCCGGGCAGCCAATAAAAATAAAAATGGGCAGAAGACCTGAATAAACATTTAAAAAACTGTCTACAGGTTGATAATTGTTGAAGATGGGGGATGGTACGTGGAGGTTCGTTGTATTATTCTACTTTTGTTCATGTTTGAAATTTTCCATAATAAGAAAATTGAATCATACCACTTCTCCCTACCTTTCACTGCTACCATTCTGATCCAAGGCGCCACATCTCTTGTCTGGACTGTTGTAGTAGCTTCTTAACTGAATTCCTGCTTCTGCTCTCACCTCCACTCCCCACCCTCTGCTTTTAATCCAATCTTCCCACGAACAGCCAGTGTGATACTCTTAAAATGAAAGTCCATCCATGTCCCTCTTCTGCTTGGAATTCCCCAGTGGCTCCCCATTTCAATCAGAGTAAAAGCCAAAGTCTTAGTGGTCTTCAAGATCCTACACAATTTACCCCCTACCCTTGTACTCAAACCTCATCCCCTCCCACTCTCCCCCCTTGATCATTCCATTCCGGCCACACTGCTATTCCTCAATCCCACCAGGCATACTGCCACCACAGGGCCTTTGCACTTGCTGTTCCTTCTCCCATTCCTTTTAAATTTATTTTTATTTTTAAAATTTTTTAAAATGTTTTTTTATTTTTGGCTGAGCCGGGTCTTAGTTGCGGCACACAGGATCTTTCATTGGGGCGTGTGAACTTCTTAGTTGCCGCATACAGACTCTTAGTTGTGGCATGCATGTGGGATCTAGTTCCCCGATCAGGGATCCAACCTGGACCCCCTGCATTGGGAGAGTGGAGTCTCACCCACTGGACCACCAGGGAAGTCCTACCTTCTCTCATTCTTCCCTCTGACATACATACAGCTCACTCTTCGCCTTCTTCATGTCTTTGCTCAAATGTCTCCTTTTCAGACCTTCCCTAACCACCTTTTTTGAGACTGAACCCCTAAACGTTGCCACTTCTTATCCCCCACACGTAGTCAGTACCTTTTAACCTCTTTCCCTGCTTTATTTTCCTGATTAGCACTTATCACCGTCTTAATTATTATAATGTTACTTATTTATCCTGTTTATTATCTGTCTCCACCATTAGAGTGTAAGCCCTCTGCAGTCCGAGAATTTTGCCTATTCACTGCTGTATCCCCAGGACACCTGTGTGACACATAGCGGGCACTCAACAAATGTTTGTTGAATGAATGGCATTCCGAGTTTCAATCCCTGCCCACCTGTCCAGGCACAGCTCTCACCTCTCCCCTCCCTGCCCTCCAAGCCAACGTAGACCTAACAGCCGAGTCCTGGCACATACCAGGATGATTCACACTTCTCAGCCTTATCCTGTCTTGTGCCCTTTGTCCCCTGGCCACATTCCCAGTCTTTTAAGAGTCATCTCAAGCAGGTGTTCACTGACACCACAGGTGACCCCAAAGAAACTCTTCTGCCTGAATTTCCACCAGGTTTCTGTGCCCTCTTTTCTCCTAGTACACAGGACACTGGACTCTCTGTGTCTCCTCTGTCTCCCCCACTGCTCTGGGAGCCCCTGGGGCAGGAACCACATCTTACCTTGTCTTCTTAGCACAATGTCTGGCACCCAGCCAGCACTCACTAGATGTACAGTGAAGGAATAACAATACTTGCATTTACTTAATGTTTTCTCTGCTAAATGTTCTCACGCTTAATCCACACAACCTATGGGGTAGGTATTATTCTTAAACCCATTTTAAGGATTATTTATGTGAGGGTCAGAGAGGTTACGAGTCTGGCAAAGGGCAGACTGGAATTCCAGAGTTCGTTCTGCGGAACCCTAGAATTCCCACTGTTCAGCCCAACCTCGAGTGAGTCACTGCTCTTGCTGAGCCTGTTTCGGGTGACAAGGTTGTGGGGATGGGATTGGTGGATACCATCCAACTCCCATCTCCTGGGGGAGTTGCCTTTCCCAGGGCCATCCTCAAGCCAGTTTCAGTTTCCAAGTTGTAAAAGGGAAACTAAGAGGTGAGAAACGAAACCTACAGCAGAAAGGGTGACTAAAAGCCCCGCCTGTGAAGGTGGTTTCACCCAGTGTCCCTCAGTACCCCAGCTGCAGTGAACGGCCTCCAGGAAGAGGATCCCCTGGTCAGCCAGACACCCTTGTTTCCTCTCCACTCTGGTCCTTTATTCCACAGGGTGCTGGAGGTCAGCTGAGGAGGAGTCCCCTTAAAGAAGAGTGTGTGTGCCAGGAGCTGGGTAGGTGTGTGGGTATATATCTAGCCACCAGTGGTACTCTCAAGACAGAGATGGCAGTGCCCCCGGAGCTGTTTGTCACCCCAGCTTCCAGGCTGAACTCCTTCGTGACTGACTGCCTACATCCCAGCCAGAAGTGGAAAAAAGAGGTGCTGGAGACTGTGCAGACCGTGGAGCAGTTCCTGAGGGAGCAGAGCTTCCAAGGGGAGCATGGGCTGGACCAGGAATTGGGGGTGCTGAAGGTGGTCAAGGTGAGACTGGTTCCCTCCATCCCCAGGCCAGGGCTGGGCAAAATGCAGCTTGTGGGTCTACATCCCTGAGGATGCTAGGACCTGTTGCCTCATTATCTCTAGCCCATGCTACTGACATCTCAAGACACTCCATCCCAATGCACTGCTGCCTTGAGCAGAGCAAGTCCAGTAAGGGAGCTAATAATAATAGTGTACTTTTTTGGATGCACTAGCCTAACCCCTTAACATGTATTATGTCTAATTTGTGTACCCTGTGAGGTATGTACTATTCTTTTCCCATTTTACAGATGAGCAGAATGGAAACTCAGTGATTTAAGATCCATAATGACCAAATGCAATGCAAGGTCTCTGATTGGATCTTGGTGTGAATGGACCATCTGTAAAATATAATTTGGGAACAATTGGGGAAATTTCAATATGGCCAGAATGTTAAATAATATATATAAGGGAATTTTTTTTTAATATTTATTTATTTAATTTATTTATTTTCTTGGCTGCGTCAGGTCTTAGTTGTGGCAATGCGGGATCTTTTGTTGCAGGGTGCGGGCTCGGGCTTCTCTCTAGTTGTGGCGTGCGGGTTTTCTCTTTCTAGTTGTGGCGCGTGGGCTCCAGGGTGTGTGGGCTTTGTAGTTTGCGGCACACGGGCTCTCTCGTTGAGGCGTGGGAGCTCAGTAGTTGTGGCACGCGGGCTTAGTTGCCCTGCAGCATGAAGGATCTTCGTTCCCTGACCAGGGATTGAACCCGAGTTCCCTGCATTGGAAAGTTGATTCTTTACCACCGGACCACCAGGGAAGTCCCAGGGAACTGTTTTTCTTTGAGGCGAAATAGTTTTGTGGTTATGGGGAAAAATGTTCTCTTTTGTTGGACACAAATGCTAAAGTACTTAGGGACGATGGTCCTTAGCATCTGTAATTTACTTTAAAGTGGCTTAGTTGAAGCAAATATGGCAGAGTTTAGACTTGTTGAATCTGGGTGGATGTATAAGTGTTCATTGTATGCTCTTTCTATTTTTCTGTTTAAAGTTTTTGATAATGGAATTTTTTTTTAATGGAAGCTCAGAGAGATGAGGTCACTTGCCCAAGGTCACACAGCTAGTAGTGAAGCTGGGATTTCAACCAGGATCTATCTTACTCCACTCCAGGCTGCCCTCACTGAGCTTTTTTCCCCCAAGCCCTTCCTGCAGCTGCATCATGTCACCTCCTGTCCTAGCTAGGATAATAATGCAAGAAGGTCAAAACTAGAAAGGTGTGATGAGGAAAACAACTTTTGAGGAAAACGATTTTGTTTTTCTGAGTGGCTGCCTAGGCATTTTACAGTATGGTGACCCTACTAACACCAGATGTTCAGAGTCTGGACTTTTAGATAGGTTTAGGGTATCCCCACAGGTTCCTGCTTTGCCTTCCCCGGTGGAACCTTTTAATATAACCACTGAGTGGGCTTCCCTGGTGGTCCAGTGGTTAAGACTCTGAGCTTCCACTGCAGCAGGCACAGTTTCGATCCCTGGTCAGGGAAGTTCCGCATGCTGCACTGTGTGGCCAAAAAACATAAATAAATAAAACTTTTTTTAAATGTAGAGCTAAGAGGGTTTAAAAAATTTTTTTTTAATGTAAATTGATACAGCCACTATGGAGAACAGTATGGAGGTTCCTTAAAAAACTACAGATAGAATTACCATACGACCCAGCAATCCCACTACTGGGCACATACCCTGAGAAAACCATAATTCAAAAAGAGTAATGTACCAAAATGTTCATTGCAGCTCTATTTACAATAGCCAGGACATGGAAGCAACCTAAGTGTCCATCAACAGGTGAATGGATAAAGAAGATGTGGCACATATATACAATGGAATATTACTCAGCCATAAAAAGAAACGAAATTGAGTTATTTGTAGCAAGGTGGATGGACCTAGAGTCTGTCATACGGAGCAAAGTAAGTCAAAAAGAGAAACACAAATACCATATGCTAACACATATATATGGAATCTAAGAAATAAAAAAAAAAGGAGGTCATGAAGAACGTAGGGGTAAGACGGGAATAAAGACACAGACCTACTAGAGAATGGACTTGAGGATATGGGGATGGGGAAGGGTAAGCTGTGACAAAGTGAGAGAGTGGCATGGACATATATACACTACCAAACGTAAAATAGATAGCTAGTGGGAAGCAGCCGCATAGCACAGGGAGATCAGCTCGGCGCTTTGTGACCACCTAGAGGGGTGGGATAGGGAGGGTGGGAGGGAGGGAGAAGCAAGAGGGAAGAGATATGGGAACATATGTATATGTATAACTGATTCACTTTGTTATAAAGCAGAAACACACCATTGTAAAGCAATTATACTCCAATAAAGGTGTTAAAAAAAAAACCACTTAGAGTTAAGCCTGTGAAAAGTTAGTAACCTCTGCCCCAATCACCTTGTAAGTACTAGGTGCTTGCTACCCTGCTCTATCTCCTGCTGGCTTGTGACCTGGGGTGGAAGACTGCCCTTCCCCCGGCTCACTGTGTCCCCTTGCTTCTGGGATCTGTAAGTAATAAATCATTAAAAAAATTTTTTAAATTAATTTAGGTTGGAGTATAGCTGCTTTACAATGTTGTGTTAGTTTCTGCTGTACAGCAAAGTGAATCAGTTATACAAATACATATACCCCTCCTTTTTAGATTTCTTTCTCATTTAGGTCACCACAGAGCATTGAGTAGAGTTCCCTGTGCTATACAGTAGGTTCTCATTAGTTATCTCTCTCTCTTTTTTTTTTTTTTCGCGGTACGCGGGCCTCTCACTGTTGTGGCCTCTCCCGTTGCGGAGCACAGGCTCCGGACGCGCAGGCTCAGCGGCCATGGCTCACGGGCCTAGCCGCTCCGCGGCATGTGGGATCTTCCCGGACCGGGGCACGAACCCCTGTCGCCTGCATCAGAAGGCGGACTCTCAACCACTGCGCCACCAGGGAAGCCCAGCTATCTATTTTTGAAAGTAATAAATCTTATGACTCTACTCCCTTTGTATGGGTGTATTGAAACTGCACCTTTCCTCCAAATGACCCCGTGGGTTTCATTTCCCCACAGAGGGAGTTTGGATGCTGAGGGAGCTACCTGCCCACCCTGTGTGGGCGGCTGGTGCCCCCTGGCCAACGAGAAATTAACACTTTATTTGGGCTTTAAACCCTCCCCCCACCCCTGAAAATCTGTTAAGCTGTGCTGGTCCGCAAGAGTGAATGTTTGTCCTTGGGTTTGAATAGGTTTGGACTGAAGCAAGTCATGAAGCCTGTTCTAGAACGCTCTTCCCTCTCTGCCTGTATCTTACCAGTGGAAAAGGTGGGAAGGGCAGCACAGGCACAGCCTTCAGCGGGATGTGCTCTTCATCCGCACCCAGAGTGCCATTCCCAACCCTCTCACATAGGGCAGAAACGCTGAGTCCGAACGCAGGTGGAGAAAGAAAATGGGAAAGGAAGAGGAAACAAAAGATGGCGGACTCCTGCACAGAAGCAGGGCCTGCCACATAGACTTGGGTCACAGGGAAGAAAGAGGTAGAACCACCACACCTGGTGTTCTGACCCTCTATCTGACTGTGACTATCAGTCCTGGCTGTGAGCCCGTGGCAAGTTGATTAACCCCCAACTGCCTTCCTTTTCTCATGTGTACAATGGGGATAATCATACTAGTCCCCCCACCTCAATTAATGGGGGTGAGGATTAAAAGACATTGTGTGTATAAAGGGCTTTCAGTGGTGCCAGGCACAGCGAGGGCTCAACTGGCGGCAGCTGGGTCATCATCAATGTTCCTTGACTCCACCCACCACCAGAGGTAGCCGACCTGAGGTCTGAGGCATCCCTGGCAATTCCACCTCCCGACCTGGAGTGAGAAAGAGAGAAGGCCAGAGAGTTGGGGGACTTTGTATACCGGAGGCCACAGCGCTGAAGAGCAAGTTTAGGATCTCAGAACATCAAAAAGACCCTTTCAAAATCATCCAGCTCAGGCTCCTTCAATTCAGATGGGGAAGCTGAACTCCAGGCAGCAGAAGAGATGATCTAGGTCGAGTAGAGCAGGAGAAGGAAGAGGGATATATTGCTGACTTCCTGTGTGCCAGGCACCACGGCAAGCCCTTGGCACACATTGTCTTGTCGAATCCTCCCAATCAGCCAGTGACTCATGTGCCGTCATTACTCTGAGGTTCCAGATGAGCAGCGTTCAGAGGATGATGCAACTGAGAAACAGGGGCACGGGGCGAGGTCATGGTCAGGCGGCCCTGTTCCCCAGCCCGCGGTTCTCATCCACCAGGCAATCCTGTGCCCCCCTTTTTATTTTTATTTTATTTTATTTTTTAGATATTTATTTCTTCATTTATTTATTAATTTAGGCTGTGCCAGGTCTGAGTTGCCGCAGGCGGGATCTTAGTTGTGGCACGCAGACTTCTTAGCTGCGGCATGCACGCAGGATCTAGTTCCCCAACCAGGGATCAAACCTGGGCACCCTGCATTGGGGGGGGCGGAGTCTTACCCATTGGACCACCAGGGAAGTCCCTGTGCCCCCCTTTTTAATGTCATGAAATTATTCAGACATCCACCCCCGCCAGAATCCTCCAACCACCACCCTGTGGAGGATGACTGTTCCCTTGGAGTGGGGATCACTCTGCAGATAAGGCTGAGTCTTGGAAGCGAGGCAGTGGAGTAAATAAGAAGCGTGGGCTGTGGAGTCTGGCTGCCTGGTTGGAAGCACCCACTGTGTGACCCTGGACGAGAGGCTTGCCTCTCCACATCCCCGCTTTGTCTCCTGTAAAGAAGGGATGTTAATACTCCCCACCCGGACTTCCCTGGTGGCACAGTAGTTAAGAATCTGCCTGCCAATGCAGGGGACACGGGTTTGATCTCTGGTCAGGGAAGATCCCACATGCTGCGGAGCAACTAAGCCCGTGCGCCACAGCTACTGAGCCTGCGCTCTAGAGGCACTAAGCCACAACTACTGAGCCTGCATGCCACAACTACTGAAACCAGCACGCCTAGAGCCCGTGCTCCGCAGCAAGAGTAAGCCACCGCAATGAGAAGCACGTGCACCGCAATGAAGAGTAGCCCCCGCTCACCACAGCTAGAGAAAGCCCGCGCACGCAGCAAAGAAGACCCAATGCAGCCAAAAATAAATAAATAAATAATTTTTAAAAAAGGAAATACTCCCCGCCCATCCCTCAGGGCGGTGGCGATCATCCGTGGAAAGAGCATCAGGGATTGCCTGGTCCAGGCAGTGGCCTCGGGGTGACGGGACTCTGTGTTCTGCAGGTGGGCTCCTTCGGGAACGGCACAGTGCTCAGGGACAGCTCAGAGGTGGAGCTGGTGATGCTCCTGAGTGGTTTCCACAGCTTCCAGGAGGAGGCCAGGCACCACGACGACATTCTGAGCCTGCTATGTGAAAAGCTCAGGTATTGCCAGGACCTCCTGAGCCTCCAGCTCCAGGACCTGAGGCTGGTCCAGGGAGTCCACTCTGCTGTCGCCTTCACCATCCAGTCCTGGGAGACTGCGGAGCCCATCACTGTCACCATCGTGCCGGCCTACAGGGTCCTGGGTAAGCGGAAGCCCACCAGACTCACACGACCACCCTCCCGGGGGACCCGCAGCTTCCTCACCTCTCCTTCGTGGCCACGTGCAGACACCTGTATTCACCCATTCAACCCACGTCCTGTGCTGGGTGCTGGGTGACCACAGTGCCTGGGACTGACTCAACTCTGGCTGTCCTGTGGCTCAACTTAGGAAACAGATTTATCAAAGAATCACGCAGATAAATATATGATTGGAGAGGAAGTGAGAGCCATGGAGGGGAAGGAGTAAGAGCAACCCTGGGAGCTTCTGAAACATTTACCCCGGGGGCGGGGGCCTGTCATTGTCTGTGCTTTCCCGGAAGCAGAGCCTGAGACAGGGATGTGAGGATAAGCAGTCCCAGGAGATGCTGGTGGGGAAGCAGGGGAGTGAGACGGAAGGCGGGGAGCACAACAAGATGCAGGTTGAACTAGTCACCGTGCTGAGCAGCTGGGCTTGTGCCCTGCAGAGCTCTGGGAAAAGTGCAGAGCACGTCTCCCAAGTGGGTTGTTGAGTGTTTCATCCACCAGCTTCTGCTTCCCATCAGCCATTGGCTGAGAGCTGCTTCCCAGGAGCACCGATGGCACTAGTAACGGTATCAGCTACAAGCTCAGATGATCCAGCTTTCATCTGGTGCACTGGCTCCTCTTAACTAGAGTGGCTGCTGGGAGTTGCTCCATGGAGAAAGTGTCAGAATTGGGATCCCATCTGAGCCAGAAAGAGACAGTGGGAGGCATTAGTGATGTACGCCCCACCCTTCAGCAAACGTGCTCTCTGAGCCCAGCTTTCTTATATGGAATTAGTCCTTCCCTATAGTGATGGAAGCTTCATATAAATCGCTGAGAGATCCAAAACAGACATTAAGGGAAACTGAGGGTGTTGGGCACATCAAGAGAGGACAATAGTCCTTGAGTAGCCTGAGGAATAGAAAACCCACTTAAAAAAAATGTATTTTATTGAAGTCTAGTTGATTTACAATGTTGTGTTAATTTCTGCTGTACAGCAAAGTGAGTCAGTTATCCATAATATACGCCATTATGTTTTATCACAGCATATTGAATCTAGTTCCCTGTGCTGTACAGTAGGACTTTGTTGTTTCTCCATCCTATGTATAATAGTTTGCATCTACTGATCCCAAACTCCCAATCCATCCCTCCCCCACCCACCCTCCCCCTTTGGTAACCATAAGTCTGTTCTCTATGCCTGTGAGTCTGTTTCTGGAAAACTCACTTTTGATTCTCCAGAAGGACAACCAAGAAGGCAAACTGTTAGTCTCTTAAGCTATGTGGTCCCAGGTCTCCCTGGAGAGATACTCCAATAATTACCAGTCTCTCCCCCATGGAGTAGTCAGCAACCTGGGGCTTCCTGAACCCTCACTCTCTCCCCTTCGCCTCCTCTCTCTTCAGGGCCTTCTGTTCCCAACTCTCATCCCTCCCCAGAGGTCTATGTGAGTCTGATTAAGGCCTGCGGTTCCCCTGGACGTTTCTCCCCATCCTTCAGCGAGCTGCAGAGAAACTTCGTGAAACACCGGCCCGCCAAGCTGAAGAGCCTCCTGCGGCTGGTAAAACACTGGTACCTGGAGGTGAGGAGGCTGCCGGGCTGGGGGCAGGAGCGGAAGATGGAGGAGGGAGGGGAAGAAAAAGCAGGAACCATATCTGTCATCTTGGGAAACTGCACCAAGAGGCAATGGAGGTGGGGTGCGAGAGAAGGCTCACCTTTTTTTTTTTTTTTTTGCGGTACCGAGCCTCTCACTGTTGTGGCCTCTCCCGTTGCGGAGCACAGGCTCCGGACGCGCAGGCTCAGCGGCTATGGCTCACGGGCCCAGCTGCTCCGCGGCATGTGGGATCTTCCCGGACCGGGGCACGAACCCGTGTCCCCTGCATCGGCAGGCGGACTCTCAACCACTGCGCCACCAGGGAAGCCTAAGGCTCACCTTTTAAAATGTGAACCTGGCAGAAGATGCAGATGAAGAAGGAGGAAGGAGAGGAGGGGGAGGAGAAAGAAACAGAGGAGGAAGGAGAGAAATAAGGAACGTACTGTATTTCGAAGAACGAGTGCTTGTAATGGTCCAGCTAAAGTCCAGTGCTGGCTAAGGCCAACTTCTCTGGGCTCTCTGGACATTAATCTCAGCTGATTAAGGACTAACAAGCGGAAAAATTCGTTTAATTCCACACTGCACCAATTCCCCCTCCAAATGATTGAGTTCCTGAGTCTCATGATCATTACTGAGTGAGTACATCCACAGCAGCTACTTTTTAGATTTCACATATGATGTCTGCATGGTATCAGGTATATTTCAAACTACCCAGATGAACATGTCATCTGAACTTATGAAAGGAAGACTCAGAAACAAACAAAAAATGAGAAAGAAAGAAAAAAGATGCTTTCTTATTTTTAAAAAAATGGTAAGGGTCAGATTTTAGAAAGACCAGTCCAGTCCAAAAAGAAAAAAAAAGTATTTAAAGATAAAAATCAGAATATTACCAAAGTTAGTTTATAGTTAGTATGTTTATGGTGGAAAAGCAGTCATCTTCTTGCATGATTATCACTTCTACCAAGGTTGTGATGTATCTTCAGATGTTAGCATCACCGAAGCCAAGAATGAAATTGGTTTTTTTGGTCAGTCAGTCACTTAAGAGGAATTGATCCAAGGTTTTGTGGATTTGGAGAGCTAGAACTCAACAAAATGATCTGTTTGCTTTGTTTGTCTGTCTGTCTAAGTGTACAAAGTGTTTTCTTCCTGTATATGACTTGAACATTTATTGTAATGTCCGCAGAACAACGTATCAGCTTTACTTCTATAGCCCTTTCTTTGTTCAAGTCTCTGCCACTAAGGGACTTCCCTGGCGATCCAGTAGTTAAGACTCCATGCTTCCACTGCAGGAGGCACAGGTTTGATTCCTAGTCAGGGAACCAAGATCCCCATGTGCCCAAAAACAAACAAGCAAACAAAAAAACCCCAAAAGTTTCTGCCTCTAAGACAAGAATTTGTCTGCATATGGTTTTTTGAAACAGTTTTTTGATTCAGTGTTATTATTTATTTATTTATTTATTTTTGGCTGTGTTGGTTCTTTGTTGCTGCGCCCAGGCTTTCTCTAGTTGCAGACGAGCGGGGGCTACTCTTCGTCGCGGTGCGCGGGCTTCTCATTGCAGTGGCTTCTCTTGTTGCAGAGCACGGGCTCTAGGCGCACGGGCTTCAGTAGTTGTGGCTCGCAGGCTCCAGGGCGCAGGCTCAGTAGTTGTGGCGCATGGGCTTAGTTGCTCCGCGGCATGTGGGATCTTCCCTGACCAGGGCTCGAACCCGTGTCCCCTGCATTGGCAGGCGGATTCTTAACCACTGTGCCACCAGGAAAGTCCCTGATTCAGTATTATTAATTTGATGTTTTCTTTTATTTGAGAACTTTTATTTAGCTAAGTGTTACAAGATGTGTTTGTTGATCAATACTTAAGGACACAAAGAGTTCATATTGTATGTTAAACAAAACTAGAATCCCGTGATGCTAAAAAGGTTGATAGTTCATTTTTGTCTGGAAACGTAACATCACAGGAATTGTCATTCACTTTCATGGTTCAAAATTATTTTATGATTCTTACCAACTCATCTACTGGGGTCAGGGACCAAGGAACATGTAAGTGAGCTTCTCTGGGTTCTATTCACCAAATGTTAACTGTAAGAATATCACTGATCTCAGAGATGCCCAAGTTTGTGCATGCTCATGATAAACCAAAAAGTGTTACTTTGACTATCTATAATTCTGGGCTTTCATAAGCCTTGCAACAGTATCAGTTTCCAAGAGGGACTTTTGAGCATCATTTCCCCATGTGAAGAGCTGTCCTTGATTTCTTTTGTGTTTTAATTTACCAACAAGCTGATGTTTATGTTCTATCTTTTGAAGTATTTAATTCAGTTCCATTTTGGGAAAAAGATGGGGCTTTCCCCAGTGTTTTGGCTGAGCTTCTGACATAAGTGTTTTGTTTGGTTGTTTTTTTGTTTTGTTTTGGAGGGTTTTTTGTCTTTTGCCATTTTAAGTGTACAAGTCAGTGGCATTAATTACATTCACAATGTTGTGTAAATATCACCATTATTTCCAGAACTTTTTTTATCATCCAAAACAGAAACTATACCCATTAAACAATAACCTCCCATTCTACCCTCCCTCCAGCCCTGTAATCTCTATTCTACTTTCTATCTCTATGAACTTGACCGCTCTAGGGACCTCTTATAAGTGGAGTCATACAATATTTGTCCTTTTCTGTCTGATCCTTTTTTTCCTTTTTGGCCGTGCCATGCGGCATGCGGGATCTTATTTCCCCTAACAGGGATGGAACCGTGCCCCCTGCAGTGAAAGGATGAGTCCTACCCACTGGACCACCAGGGAATTCCCTGTGTCTGATTCTTAACCGTGGGATTATCATACTTAATTGGATGAGATTTCTGACATGAATACAAGTTTACTTATACATTTGATTTATTCTTTTTTTAAAAAAACTAAATTTATTTATTTATTTTTGGCTGCGTTGGGTCTTCGTTGCTACGCGTGGGCTTTCTCTAGTTGCGGCGAGCTGGGGCTACTCTTCGTTGCGGTGCGCGGTCTTCTCATTGCGGTGGCCTCTCTTATTGCGGAGCACGGGCTCTAGGCGCGCGGGCTTCAGTAGTTGTGGCTCGCAGGCTCCAGGGCGCAGGCTCAGTAGTTGTGGCGCACAGGCTTAGTAGCTATGTGGCATGTGGGATCTTCCTGGACCAGGGCTCCTACGCGTGTCCCCTGCATTGGCAGGCGGATTCTTAACCACTGAGCCACCAGGAAAGTTCCGATTTATTCTTGATTTATCTAATTCTATCCTGGTAGGAAGGAGGACAGATTTTTTGAACGTATGTAAACGCTACATATTCCTGAAAAGGAACTTAATAAAGACACTTCGTGAATATTAAGCCATCATTCTGAATAGTTTTATAAGCAAGGCCAATTTACATATGCTATTATTTTACAGAATAATTATCTTTGTTTTCCTGAGGATTAGTTAGTTCATAATCTATAATAGGAATTTATATATTTATTTATTTTTTTTTTTGCGGTACGCGGGCCTCTAACCGCCGTGGCCTCTCCTGCCACGGAGCACAGGCTCCGGACGCACAGGCTCAGTGGCTGTGGCTCACGGACCCAGCCACTCTGCGGCATGTGGGATCCTCCCGGACCGGGGCACGAACCCGTGTCCACTGCATCGGCAGGCGGACTCCCAACCACTGCGCCACCAGGGAAGCCCTATAATAGGAATTTTTATAGGGATTTTTTTTATTCTGAGGTGTCAGTTGGAATAATATATCATTTACAGAATGTATCTTAGTTTGCACATGTATTTCCGTATATTGAGGGTAGGAGAGTAAGAAAGAAAGGGTTTTTTGTGTTTTTTTTTTTCTCTCACATAGTCATCAATAGAACATTAACCTGAGTAATTAATTCTCATTTTGTTAAGCAATCTGCTCTTATGAAGTTGCCTACTTCTGAAATAAAAGATTCTGGTGAAATTCTGACTCAGTCCCCTTTGGTGGCCATATGAGTCTTTATCCACGAATTTATTACACTTCATAAATTTCCCATAGTGGAGTTGGGGGGAAGAGATTTGCTGGCAGATAGATTATATTGTAATCAGACCATTCTTTTATGAAATCCTTTTTTTTTTTCATTTACATACATAAAAACAAAAAGAATTGGCAGCTGTGATTTTACTATTTTAATTACGGGTCCAAAATAAACACAGCATAAAATCTAACAGTCCATCAGCTCCTAATTTTACAGGGCTGTTTTCCAGGAATCATATGTGTGTGCGTGCACACACCGCACCCCTACCCCCCAATTTTTGAGTGATTTAAATTCATAATGGCATACAAGACAACAATAACAGGGCTCCCAGGAGATATCTGAATACTCAAGACAAACAGACCAAAAGAGAGCGAGAGAGAGAGCGAGAGAGAGAGAGAGAGAGAGAGAGAAACACAAAATACAATCAAACTCTCATCGACTGCCACTCAGCAGAGAATAACTTCCTATCATCCGTCTCCCGACAGAGACCACCAGATGGTCAAACCATAAAAGCAGAGTCACCGATTGTAGTCATCAGTGGGGACATAAGTGGCCCCATGCAAATAGGTACAAGAACCAGAATCAGACTTGTCCAAGAATCAGACAATCTAGAATCAGAAATAAAAACAGAGTAGACGTGGGGAGGGAGGAGAGAAACATCAGAAGAATAAAAGCTATTGTCATACAAGATTCACCCTCGGAATTGAAAAAAGGGGCACGTCTGAATGTAAACAGCCCATGGGGCGCATTTCTCAGGCAACACAGTTTACTCAGTTTTGGAACAGTCTCAGTGGAACCTCCAGCTGCAACCAGAAACAAGAGATAAAAAGTCATTCATTAAATAAGAACTTGCAGAGAAGTTGCAAGGGAATCAGACTGCAGAAGGAAAGGCTTAATCCAATAAAAAATATGTATAATAGGCGTTTAAAGAAAAAACGATTACCAAGATTACTAGGTTTATAGTTCATCTCTGTTGATGGTGGAAAAATAGCAAATTTCTCACATGCTTATCAGATCTAGAAAGGTCATGAAGTATTGCAACTTCGCAAAAGTCAGAGAAATCCAAAATATGGAGAAATCAGAGCATCACTAACATAAATCAGCACTGGAAGGGAACATACATCTTTTCTTCTGGTTTGCTCTTTTTTTTTTTTTTTTAATGTACCATTAAATAGTCTATCAAAAGTCCTAAAAGAAATGAACGGCTCATTTTTCCTAAGGCTTACATCTTATGATTACAGGCATTCTGCATTTTCTTTGTCATGTAAATTTTAAGAATCTCGCTAGTAAAATTTCACTAGTATTGGAGAAAATAAATTGTCTTGTCATGAGTTTACATTCTTAAAAAAATTATAATTTTATTAGTTAAGATTTACAGCTTTGTGAGATGTGAATTCACAAAATGTTACAAAAACAAATTCATTAATGTATAAATAAGTTTGAAATCAATTAAAAACATTTTAAAGTCAAGGATAAAGTTGTTTTTGTTAGTTACAGGAAAGGCACAGGTTTCATTTATTTTGGGGACTGGAACTAGACCAGATGGCCTCGTTTCTGTTTGTTTCAAGGTCAAAGTGGGTTTTTGTCTTTTTGAGGGGTGTGATATAAAACTTATTTATAATGGCCACAGGACAAGATGTCAGTTTTGCTTCCACAAACTAAATAGCTGGATGTTTGACAGAAATTTTCATTTCCTAGCTCAATGTTAGAGAGGTTCTTTAGACAGGAGGTGACTGGTATCCATTAAGATGCTTTCTTTTTCAAGTAACAGAAAAACAGAAAAACCAACTCAAACTGGCTTAACCAATAAAGAGAATTATCAGCTTATGTGTGAAAACCCACAGCAGTGGAGAGGAGGCTTCAGGCATTGTTTGATGAATGCTCCAGCTCAGTTTCTCTGTAATACTCTCAGCGTCTCTCAATTCTATATGTCACCTTGGTCCACAGGCTGGCTTCCCTCATGGTGGCAAAATGGCCACATCTGTTCCTGCCCTCACATCCACATACAAGAGAGGACTTCTCTTCTTTCAACCACTGAACAAAAGAACTAGGCTTGACTCAAATTAAGCCAACTTAGATTACAAAGCTTCTCTTGAACCAATCACTTGGCAAGGGGAATAGGTTTATACTGGTGACCCTATCCTGTCAGGGCCAACCCTGGAGAGGAGGATTGGGTCAATTCCATCCAAACAGCATGGCTACTATACAATGGGGAAGGAAGAAACGCCTGTTAGAGAGGCAACCCTAATGTTCACCATGGATTCTCAGCTATTACCTAGTCCTATAGTCCCCCAACACACGCATACTATTTTTTTTCTCTTTAGCTAAGACTTTTCTTTAAAAGAAATCTTTAAGGGGGCTTCCCTGGTGGCACAGTGGTTGGGAGTCCGCCTGCCGATACAGGGGACGCGGGTTCGTGTCCCGGTCTGGGAGGATCCCACGTGCCGCGGAGCGGCTGGGCCCGTGGGCCATGGCCGCCGAGCCTGCGTGTCTGGGGCCTGTGTTCCGCAGCGGGAGAGGCCACAACAGGGAGAGGCCCGTGTACCACAAAAAAAAAAAAAAAAAAAAAAAAAAAAATCTTTCAGAAGCCTAAATAGATTAAAATGGAGCTGCTTAGGCTGGAGTGCTGATGACAGAGCCCAACCTGCTCACTCCTTGGGACACCCCTTTATCACTCCATTTCCGGGAGTTATGTCAAGCACAGTTTGAAACCAACTGGAGTAACCTAGCTGCTTAATTCTAAAATGGAGAAACCCATTTAGGGCCAGAGAGGGAAAGTGACTTGGTCAAGACTACGCAGCCATTAGGTAGCAGAGCTGGGACCACAACTTGGACTTTTCTAGTTTCTGGTTCAATGTCATCCTTATAAGGAATCTTGGGGTCTCGCTCTCTCTTCCCATGTCTTTCAACAGTGCGTGAAATCCTGGTGCCTTAGGGCCGAGCTACCCCCTCTCTATGCCCTTGAGCTACTGACCATCTACGCCTGGGAAGTGGGTACTCAGGAGGAGGCATGTTTCGGGTTGGACAGCGGCCTGGCCACCGTGATGAGACTGCTTCAGCAGTATAAGTTACTCTGTGTCTACTGGACCGACTACTACACGTTCCAGAACCCGATCATTGAGGACTTTGTCAGAAAACAGCTCAAAAAAGAGAGGTACTAGATCACTGCATGCCAACCACATCTCGAAGAGAAAAGAAAGAGAATTAAGGGAGAGGCAGTATCAAGTTTTCTGGGTGGGCTTTATTAAGTAGGAAAGCTGATATCTCACCCTGACACACTTGACATCTCAAGGTGACTGCCTTTCAAAATTGCAAGGACCTTAGAGGCTATAAGCCTTTTCCTTGTTCCTCGAGCCACCACCCCACCCTACCTTAGCCCTCTTGCCCTCAGAAGACCATTTCAGAAAAACATTTCAGAAAAGCTAAGCTACCTTAGCTTTTTAGTGACAGCACGGGAAACTGGAAAGAACCAGGGAGACCCAAGTGTAAGCCCAGCTCCACCATTTTCTCATCTCTATTCCTCATCTGTAAAACAGGAATAATTGGCACCAAACATGCAGGATTGTTGGGAGAGTCAGACAAAATATTTGTAAAGGGCCTACAGTATCTAGCCTATGGTAGATGCCAGATAAATGTTGTAGCACATGCTGCCTGTACCCATTCGTATCCCCTGGGCCTTTACTGTTTCCAGGAAGGCTGGTTCAACCTCCAGCTGTCAGCACATGCGTCCCTTTGCCTGTGGGTTTTCAGCTTCCCCCAGTGACTGGTGGAAGTTGGTGTATAAATACCCCAGCTCCCTGATCTCAGATGGAGGGACTCTCTTTGGGACACATGTTCTCTACTACTTCCCAGAGTCCAGCCTGGGGGACTAGCCCCCAGTTGCTCACAGTGGTAATCACCTAGACACATACCCTTTACTGGCATCCTTCCCTTCCCTGTCTCACTTTCCCACTCTCTTATTGGTGCTTCCTGGTATCTCCTTCCAAATAAATGACTTGCACTCAAATCCTGATCTTAGGATCTGCTTCTGGGGGAACGCAGCCTGGGACATCTCTTTACATTAGAAGTTTTAGGTCAATGCAAGCAATATCGCAAGGTTGTTTATTATTCCCTTATGCGAGTGTCGGGTCTTTTTTTACAACGGAGAAAAACCTGGCCTCCTAATGAAAAGAGGATTTATTGTAAGGATGCCCAGAAAATTGACCTTGGAAAACCACTGGGACCTGAGGCAAATCTATAGACTCCCCTTCTCTCTGTTGCTCACTCTTATTGCCCACGTGCACCCTTTCCTCTCACTGCTTCTCTCTCCACACCTGTTCGGCTCCCCTCTTACTCCTAGTTGATGAGGAACCTCCATCATTCCTGGTCCAAACTCCAGAGGGAACAAGTCTGATCTCTGGGCACAGGGCCTGCATATCAGGTCACCTGGTGGGTCCCTTTGGGTCAGGTGACCCCACCCTATAGGTCAGCATGTTATTACTCTAAATGAGGCAGGACCATTCAGGGAGTCAGGGATGTTGGGAGTTGAGAGCATGGAGCCTAAGGTGTCTAGTTCATGTCAGTAGCCTGCTATCACATTGTGTCACTTAGATAAAAATCTCAGCTCCCACCTAAGTCAAAAGCTCCTGGAGTACAAGGGCCGGGTCTTGATCATGGGCTTGCCATCCAGCACATGTGGTCACCCCAAGCAACCCAAATAGGCTATTAGACCCCCTTCAAGCCAATATTCTTTAAAGTATTTATTCAACATTTACCTAGAGGAGAGATGCTTGGAGACAGCCCAACCTCTCCTCTGTTGAGGCAGAGGAGATGGGTAAGAATCCCTAGGGATAACCTAGGGAGGTCTGTGCCTCAGTTTCCTCATCTATAAAATGGGGGAAAATCACCACCATCATCATCATAGGCCCTACCTTATAGAATTGCTGTAGGGATTAAAATAGGTTAATTCACATAGGGTTTGAGCCCATGCCTCAATAAACATCAGTAAATAGTGGTGGTGGTGTTACTGTCATCCAAAGCAATTCAGCAGCTCTAGCCTTGAACTCACTTATGTAGCCTGTTCAGCAAAATGAAAGCTCTGAACTTGAGGCCCACCTGCCTGAGTGGGCTGCTGTTACTGTTCCAGCATGCCTTTGGGGCTCTCACCCTCCGTACACCTCAAAAATTCCTTGCAAACACCTAAAGTACTCTGCCCAAGAGGAATTCTTGGAAACAGAATCCTCTCCATTCTGTTACTCTCCGGCAATATTTTTGGGCCCTCCTAGACTGACAGTCCTGGGCTCTGGACATAGCAGATGCTCAGATGATTGCCAAGAAGGTTTCTTTCTGGCTTGCGGGCCTCCAAACCAGAAAGAACCTGGGCGCCTTCTCTCTGTGTTGCAGGCCTATCATCCTGGATCCGGCTGACCCCACCCACAATGTGGCAAAAGGCTACAGATGGGACATAGTTGCTCAGAGGGCCTGCCAGTGCCTGAAACAGGACTGTTGCTATGACAACTATGATAACCCAGTCCCCAGATGGAACGTGAAGGTAATGGCTCCTCTCTGTGCTGCCAGGAGCTTGAAGCTCAGAATGAGATAACTGCATAGTATTTAATTCTGTGTCGATGGAGCCAAGAGGACTTTAGTGTCAGTTTGAGGCCTGGCTGCACCACCTACCAGCTCTGTGAACTTGGGGAAATTATTCAACTGTCTGAGCTTCAGGTTCCTTATCTTCAAATTCTTGTTTTCCTGTTTTTTCTTCTTCCCATAACCTACCAAAGAATCACTGGGATTCTTTGCTCTCAGTCATTCTCTGCATAAGCTGAGCCCAGGCAAGTCAATTCAATCAGGTGTTTTGTGCCAGCACCAGGCTTGGGGTTGATGGTGGGTGACCAAGGGGGCAACAATGGTTCAGAAATAAGACGTGGCCACAACCCTTAAGAAACTTGCCAGATGGAAGCAAACTTGCACAAAACTGCTAAATAGAATTACCAGAGAAGATACTCAGAAAACAAAAAACTGCCATATAATATTATAATGTGATGCCAAACCCACAGTACAGGTAAAGAACATAATAATCTATTTTATTCACATTGTGCTTTACGATTTGCATAGCACTTGTTCAGGGACAAGTCTATAAAATAGAAAGGTCAAGTAGTATTATTATCTTTATCGTTACTATCCCCATTTTACAGATGAGGAGATTGAGGCTCAGAGAGGTAAAGTGAATTAACCAAGGTCACACTGCTAAGAAGCAGCAGAGCCAGAACTCACACCCAGGTCTTTGTGGGGCTGTGGAATCGGAAAATAAATGTCATCATCATAAGTCACCAAGGAAGATTCCTTGAAGAAATTAAGGCATGAGGTGGGCCCTAAAAGCCAAGGACGGATGTAGACACTCAGAACAAAGGGTACTCCATCCAGGGAGAGGGTCAGGGTAGGGGATGAGGGGCAAAGGACTACAGTTGTGTGCAAAAGACTGAGGTGCTTAGAGCAGAAGGCAGAAGCAGAATCAGGGGCTCCCTAATAAGGAGCAGAGATTACAAACTGGGGGCCCACCAGCCATATGAGGCCCACAGATGGGCTGAAAAGTATATGCCTTTGGATTTTTCCTGAATATAAAAACCATCACGAAAAGATTTTTATCTTGACAAATCAGAAGACTTGGCAATGCTGGGCCTATATTCCTTCTTAAAAGGATCAGCTAGAGGTCAGCCCACCATTCCCCTCCCCCAGCACCTTCCAGACGTTGCTCTTCAGACATCTGGGGCTCTCAGGCCCTTGAGTGTGGCCTCCGGTGGTGAAGAACAGACTTTGGAGTCTGGCTGACCTCAGTTCAAATACCCGCTCGTGTGGGCAGAAGACCTAAATAGACATTTCTCCAAAGAAGACATACAGATGGCCAACAAATACATGAAAAGATGCTCAACATCACTAATCATTAGAGAAATGCAAATCAAAACCACAAACCTCACGCCAGTCAGAATGGCCATCATCAAAAAATCTAGAAACAATAGATGCTGGAGAGGGTGTGGAGAAAAGGGAACCCTCCTGCACTGTCGGTGGGAATGTAAATTGATACAGCTACTATGGAGAACTGTATGGAGGTTCCTTAAAAAACTAAAAATAGAACTACCATACGACCCAGCAATCCCACTACTGGGCATATGCCCTGAGAAAACCATAATTCAAAAAGATACATGTACTATAATGTTCACTGCAGCACTATTTACAATAGCCAGGACATGGAAGCAACCTAAATGTCCACCAACAGATGAGTGCATAAAGAAGATGTGTCACATATATACAGTGGAATATTACTCAGCCATAAAAAGGAACGAAATCGAGTTATTTGGAGTGAGGCGGATGGACCTAGAGTCCGTCATACAGAGTGAAGTAAGTCAGAAAGAGAAAAACAAATACTGTATGCTATCGCATATATATGGAATATGAAAAAGCAGTATTGATGAGCCTAGTGGCAGGGCAGGAATAAAGACGCAGACGTAGAAAACGGACTTGAGGACATGGGGGGTGGGGAAGGGGAAGCTGGGATGAAGCGAGAGAGTAGCATTGACATATATTCACTACCAAATGTAAAATGGATGGCTAGTGGGAAGTTGCTGCATAGCAAAGGGAGATCAACTCGATGCTTTGTGACAACCTAGAGGGGTGGGATAGGGAGGGTGGGAGAGAGGCTCAAGAGGGAGGGGATATGGGGATATATGTATACATATAGCTGATTCACTTTGTTGTACAGCGGAAACTAACACAACATTGTAAAGCAATTATACTCCAATAAAGATGTGGAAGAAAGAAAAACAAACAAATACCTGCTCTGCTCCTCACTACTTTTGTGATGGTCAATAAATGGCATAACCCTGCTCAGCCACAGTTTCCTCATCTGTAAAATGGGCTAATAGCAGAACCAACCTCATAGGGCTGCTGTGAGAATAAAATACATTAAGAAGAGGATGAACGGCACCCAGCACAGGGCCCGGAAGGTGATTGGAACCCCCTAAATGTTTGCAGCTGCTGCTGTCGTTGTAAAGATGAGGACAGGTAAAGGGCACTTTTGTACTCAGACAGAGGGGTTTGGACTTAACCCCTCTTTGTCCTCTCCCTTCCAGGGTGCACGAGACATCCAACTGACAGTGGAGCAGTGGGGTTTCTCGGATTTCATCATCATGGTGAACCCTTATGACTCTATAAAGAAGGTTAAGAGGAAGATCCAGTGGAAACTGGGCTCCACATTCCTACAGCGTCTGTCCTTCCAGGAGCCCGGTGGGGAGCGACAGCTCCTCAGTAGCCAGTACTCCTTGGCTGATTACGGGGTTTTCTCCAACACTCGCATCTGTCTGCTGCAGACCATCTCCCCTGAGATCCAGGTCTTTGTGAAGAATCCCAGTGGTGGGAGCCATGCCTATGCCATTTACCCTGAAAGCCTTGTCCTGAACCTGAAGCTGCAGATTGAAGTCAAGGAGGGGCTGCACAGAGAGGAGCAACAGCTAGAGTTCCAAGGCCAAGTCCTGCAGGATGGGTGGAGTTTGATGAGCTATGGTGTCCAAGACAGCACCACCCTCACGCTGAAGAAAGAAGGAAAGAAGAAGAACCCAGCTCGTTCCTCTGAAAGACCTCTCTGTGCATTTTTGCCATTTAATCCAGACCCCATCAGTTCCACCTAACCTTGCCAGTAGACGAATGACGAGGGATATGAGACACTAGATATACAAACGAACAATGGCCAGACCATATTCGACAATAGAACTCTAACCCACAAGCTCTGCAGCCACCAGCCCGAAGCCAAACCACAATGCCTGCATCAATCAAGCCCAAACCATCAGGATTTGGTCAATAACTGCCAGCTTCCTTATTCCCTCCCTTCCAATTTAGGATCGATGAAAGAAAGCCAAACAAGCTCCCTAACCAATCACATAGGACAGCCTGCTTCTGCTTAGCCCGCCTCCAGCTTCCCTGTGCAAACAGCCTCAGTCAGGGTATGCCTGAAGCCTTCCCTTTTTCCCACTATAAAGCTGTCCCACAGCCCTGCTTGCATTGGAGTCTCTGCCAAAGGCAACAGATGGTGGCTGATTCCCTGGCTATAGCAAGTTGGGAATAAATAATCTTTGTTCTCTTTCGGATGGTCTTCATTTATTTCCACAGATGCTAAGGCTGTCCTGGCATTATTGCTTAAACATTTGAGCCTCTCAACTCTGGAAAGTGAGGACTGTAGGGAAACTGAGATGAAGAAAAGCAAAGTCTGGGAGAGCGAGGATGATGTGGTGTTAAAAGTCCCCTTGGACTTCCCTGGTGGCACAGTGGTTAAGAATCTGTTTGCCAATGCAGGGGACACGGGTTCGAGCCCTGGTCTGGGAAGATCCCACATGCCACGGAGCACCTAAACCCGTGCGCCACAACAAGAGAAGCCACCACGATGAGAAGCCCGCGCACCACAACAAAGACCCAACACAACCAAAAGTAAAAATATAATAAATTTTTAAAAATCCCCTCAACTTATTTACAAAACAGAAGTAGAGTCACGGATGTAGAAAACAAACTTATGGTTACCAGAGGAAGGCGGGTAGGGTGGTGAGGAATAAATTGGGAGATTGGGACTGACATATACACACTACTATATATAAAATAGATGACTAATAAGAACCTGCTGTATAGCACAGGGAATTCTTCTCAATACTCTGTAATGGCCTATATGGGAAAATAATCTAAAATGAAAAAAAAAGAGTGGATATATGTATATGTATAACTGATTCACTTTGCTATACACCTGAAACTAACACAACATTATAAATCAACTATACTCCAATATAAAAACAAACAAACAAAAAAATTCCCTCAACTCCTGCAATACACACACAAACAGTACCTAATTGTCCAAGGATGTAAGGAAAGTAATAGCATCTTTAGCATCAAAGGACATCATGTGATCAGGTTTACTCCAATCAACCCATTAAAAAGTTTGCTTTTTCCCCCCTCCCCTTTGCCCCACTTTCTAATGGACTACTCACCGTAGGGGGGGAAAAATGTACTTTATAATTGGTTCTCAATAGTCTCTGGGCAATTTATCAATAGCAGCCTGTTTCCCACCTCTTTTTGCCTTCAGGGGCGGAAAGAGTGCCTCCTTTCCATGGAGCAGACAGGTGAGTCCATCCCACACCCTCTGTATCCTTTATAAAGCCCAGTAGAGCCCACATTGTAGGTAGTGGACCAATTCTTGTTTAATAGAATGATGAATAAGTTACCTTCCTCTCTTTCATAATAGGAAAGCTGAGGCCAGAGAGTTTATTTTTTAAAAATTTTGACACACTCAGCTTCAAAGATAAAACACAAAGAAAAGCATTCCAAAGACAAAAGTGATTTTGTTCATATTTTATATTGGAGTATCTTAACTGTGGAGATTCTAATGTTTCGGTCTTGGGGGGATCTTAGGAGTCAGTATTTTAAAGTTTCCCAGATGTTTCCGATGTGCAGGTTGAGTGAAATCCTGAGCTAGAAAAACGCAGAATGTTTCCCAAACCATATTGTGCAACAGAATCACCTAGGATAGTGCCTCTCAAACTTTAATGTGCACACAAATCACTTGGAGATCCTGTTTAAATGCAAGTTCTGATTCAGGAGGTCTGGGCTGAAGCCAAGATTCTGCATTTTCTAACAAGCTCTGGAGTTTGCCGGTGCTGCTGGTTCACGGATTATACACTGAGTAGCAGCAAGGCCCTAGGATGTTGGAGGAAATACAGATTCCTGAGTCCCACTCTCAGGGATTCTGATTCGCCTAGTTTTTAGTGAGACTCAACAATCTGCATTTTAAAAAGTTCCCTAAGGTGCTCTTGATGCCCAGACGGATTTACCAAAACCTGGGAACCAATCCTGGCTCATTAACCCCTTGTGTGACCTTAAGCAATTCTTCCCTCTCTATAGGTCTCATTTTCCTCCTCAAGGATAGATAAGTTGATTTCTTAGGCCCTTCCAACTCTCACGTTTAAGGAAACCTCCATAACAGTTTAGGACCAATGGCGGCCTGAGTCTGAGAACTACAATCCCCACAATGCGCTGTGCTGCTCCGCTCCCTTGTGGGATCTTGAAAGAGGATCGCTCCTGGAGGCACTCCCCACAACCCTTTGCGGTGCTTCAAGGTGGCGGCGCCCACTGGCGCCATGAGCGATCTGGAGAGCAGCAGCAGCAGCGATGCGGAGGAGCTGGACCGGTGCCGCGAGGCGGCGATGCCGGCCTGGGGCTTGGAGCAGCGCCCGAGGGGCCCGGAGAAGCCAAGAGCCGGTAGGGGACTATGTTCGGGGAGTCTGGCCGAAGGGCGCAGGATCTTCCCCTGCGGCCTGAGAATGGATGTTGAAGAGGGAGTCCCTGGAATTAGACTTCTTTCCGCGAGGAGGCTCCAGGGCCTGGGTGGGGTTCAGAGTCAAAGCGCGGACAAGTTCAGCAGGGAGGGTTGTTCCATTATCCCCTTCAGAGAAACCAAGTCATCTGAATGTCTCTTGACTTTGCTTCCCTGGGTCCATCCTAACTGTCGCACCCTGGGCAGCCCACCACCTCTCCGAGGTGCCTGCGACCCTTACTGGGTTTTCGCGTCCAGCCTTTCCCCGCCTCCAACACTTTCTCACTCCCTGGGGCTGCCAGCGAGCTGTGTCCTACACGTCTCTCTGACCGTGACTCCCTAGTGCCTTGGGAATAAATCCAAAACTCCTTAACTTAAGGGTACCTAATCCCGGACAAAATCCAGAGGGTCCGTGAATCTGAATGGGAAAAATATTTCATCTTTACTTTCATTAATCTCTGTTTGAAATTTAGCATCTCTTTCCATCATGCATGTGAACAAGCCACAGTAGTCTTGGCAATACCTGTTACTTTGTCTTAACAAAAGTCGCAGATTTTCAAATCCCATTACAGTCTTTGCAGATACATCAAAAATATTTTATTCATAATAAAATGTTGAAAAAAATTATTTCCACTCATCCCTGCTTTAAAATTACAGTAATATTTAGACCCATCAGTAGATCTTATTTAATACATTAATGAAGAAGCACATATATTAATACTATCCCAAATTTGGCTTTTTACTATTAATGATAACTGAATTTCAGTATCATTGGTTTTCTTTGTAATCCTATGTGTTACATTTTTTGCATCTAAAACATTCTGAGAAGGGATCCAGGCTTTACCAGACTGCCAGAGCAGGCCATGGCAAAGAGCCCCTGCTTTTGTTGAAAAGGACTTACAAGCCCTTTGGTAATCCATTCCCTGCCTGCCTGTCCCTTTTTGCCTTCCTGCCATACTGCACACTTCCCGTAGGTAGGCTCCAGACCATACTGTGGGCACCACAACTCTGCAGTTTTCTCTTCATTTTCTATAAGCAGAAATGCCTTTCCATCCCCATCACTTACTAGCAGTAAAAAAGTTGGGCAAGGTACTTAAATCTCACTGTACTTAAATTTCCTCATCTGTAAAGTGGGGGTAATGGTAGTACCTACCCCATAAGGTTGAGAAGGAACTGAGATGATGTATGTGCAGTGCTTGGCGCACATTAAAGGCCCAATAAATAGCAGCAATTATGTGATCGGTCTCTTTTCATGGACTGCTTTCCCCCTCCTGTCTGACTCCCACTCATCCTTTAATAATACAGCTGAGACACCATCTCTTCGGGAAAGCTGGGTTACATGCCTTCTCTCCACCATCATCATAGTTTGTGCGATTCCCTTCGTATATAATGCTTTCCTTTCTTCTACAATTGCCTCTTTATTTATCCTGTCTTTTTTCCTTTCATCCCTGCATCCCGAGCACCTAGAGTCAACTCTGGCCTGTACTTGATCCACAGATATTTATTGAGCGAGAGGTTACATGATGTGAACTTCACGAGGGCTGGTATCCCTTCACCATGGTATCCCCAGGGCCTACACAGTGGTCAGGAAAATAGTTCTTAAATAAATGAACTTGCCGGAAAGGCACCTCTAATGAATGTGGAGGCTGAGACCCCAGCCAGACTCCCAGTCCAGTGATCAACATAACTGAGCCCCCTTCTTCTGTCTCTTCCACAGCACTTAGCACACAGACAAGCACATAGTAGGCACTCAATAAATACTGGAATCAAATTACACTTGCTTGTCCAGCATGGTGGTTAAGGGGGGGCCTCTGGAGCTAGATCGCCTGGGTCTTCATTCCAACTCTGTCGCTTATTGGCTGTTTGACCCTGGCTAAGCTATTTTACATCTCCTTGCCTCAGTTTCCTCTCCTGCAAAATGGGGATAATGGTAACCCCCACCCCATGGGGTCATTGGAAAGATTCAATGAGTTATACATGTAAATCACATAAAATAGTGCTCGGCACACAACTGATGCTATAGTCGTTTCTTCTATAAATACTTTGGTGTTCGTTATTTTCACAGGTGCTGCAAATACTCAGTTGCCAACCACCCAACCGAGCCTCAGGTACTGTGCACTTTGGGTTCACGTTTCACGCATTCATTCATTGATATTGCTCCCCTGCTGTGTGCCAGAGGCTATTAGACCCTGGGATGTCAGTGCGAACCAGACACATGTCTTCCCCGCCCTCATGGGGGCAGCTTCTGAGCTGGCAGGAAGTGAGGTCCTTTTCGTGTGTGTTGTAGGCACAAGGTGGATGAGCACGAACAAGACGGCAACGAGCTGCAGACCACCCCTGAATTCCGAGCGCACGTAGCTAAGATGCTGGGAGCCCTGCTGGACAGGTAACCTGCCCTTATTCATTAATACGAAGAGTAAGGGCTCCCATGGCCTGGAAGCTCAGAGTGTGTAAGTCGGCATCGCGGCAAGCATGTGGCATCTGTCACCTCATCGCTTCATAATCACTCTACCACGAAGGTCCTGTCGTTGTCCTCCTTCTCTAGATGTGGCAACAGGCTCCCCTCTGTGAGAGGAAGCATTTGCTTGAAGTCACAGGGAGGAAGGAGCAGAGTGGCTTTGACTCCAAAGGCCCTGCTCTTAACCACTGTGCAATCCTGCTACCACGAGAGGAAGAGGGGAACCCGAGCTCATTCCCTCTGCAAGAGGGCAAGGGACCGACTGAATTCCTATTTCTTGGGTGCTTTCTGTATGCCAGGCACTGTGAGAATACAATCTGTAAAGATCCAGGTCAGCATTCCCAAAATAGGTGCCTAGAAATGCGAGTCCAGAGTGTGGCTCTTGACAAAAGGGGTCCAACAGCAAAGAGGAGGAGAAACGCTGCACTCTGCATACCCCCGTGCCTGGGAGATTTAGATTCCTAATAGTGTATTCAAGGCCCTGAGAAGTCCTGCAGTAAAGAGACCTGTGTAACTTTGTTTAGCCCAGTATCTTGTGAATTCATTTGGCCACAATGCCTCTGTTCCATGGATGACTGATGGCGTGTCATGGGACGTGTTCCGGGATACGCTGGTCTACATCCATCCCCACTTGACAGAGCCCTAGCAGGGTTTTTTTTTGTTGTTGTTGTTTTTTAATATTTATTTATTTATTTGGTGGCACCGGGTCTTAGTTGCCACTCCAGGGCTCCTTAGTTGTGACATGCAAACTCTTAGTTGCAGCATGCATGTGGGATCTAGTTCCCTGACCAGGGATCGAACCCGGGCCCCCTGCATTGAGAACGCGACATCTTATTCACTGTGCCACCAGTGAAGTCCCCAGCCTAGCAGGTTTTGAAAAGGAGATTGAGGGTGTTCAGGCCATAGTCCTTCAATTTGAAGTAGTCATTGAAAAAGGACAAATAAGCCTTCCCAAAGTGCACACCAGCTGCTCTTCCCAGACAGAATGTTGGGCCAGGCCTCAGCAGCCTGCACCCTCATGGCATTAGTGCCAGTCCCCCAACCTGGGAATGTGTTAAACATGTTTAGGAAGGTCAATTAGCATCTCAACCCCTGGGAGCGGTTTTTCTCCATGATGGTTCGGCTTCAGGGTGACCAGGGCCTGCCTGGCATTGCAGGGATCCACAATGGATGCTTTCCTAGGTGGAAATCCAACAGGATGCGGGTTACACGTGGTCAGGATATTCCCTGCAGTGTTCCCATATTTCTCTCCAAAGAAATGATACTCCAGTTGGTCCCTTGTGTTAGATCAGGGTTTCTCATCTTGGCACTATGGACGTTTTGGACTGGATCATCCGTGGTTGTGTGGGGCTATACCGTGCATGTAGGATGGTTCGCAGCATCCTTGGCCTCTACCCATGTGATCCTAGTAGCGTCTCTCCACCAGCTGTGACAACCAACTGTGTCTCCAGTCATTGCCTGGTGTCCCCTGCAGACCAACGTTGAACCACTGGGTTAGATACTACCCAGGTCAGGGGCGGCGCCCAGTTGGGCCAGACTGCGTCTCCGCTCCCTCTCCCCAGACCGCGTCCCACACAGGACTTCGGGGAGGCCTCTGGCACCTACAGAAGGCAGTTAGGAGAAGCACCCAGTGCATTGCTGTGTTCGCTGCGAGGATGTTGCTGAGAGCGTCGGTCTCTGCGGTGCGTGTGAGGTGACTGCCCCGACAGCATTCCCCCAAGACCTGCTTCCTGGTCTCGTCAGTTCTCCCCACTCTCTCTGTGCTTCTAGAGAAAGGGGGTCCTGTGAAGCTCATTGCTTATCTTGACAACAGTAGTCATCTTCAGCATCGTTGTAGCTGCTGTTTACTGAGCACTGGCTTGCAGCCAGGCTCTGTGCTCAGGGCTTGGTATCCACTGTCTCATTTAATTCTTGTGACAGCCCTCGGAGGTGGGGACTCTTATTACTCGCAGTGTAGAGACGGGTAACAAAGGCTCAGAGAGATGAAGTCCCTTGTTAGTAAGTGACAAAATCAGGATTCAAAACCCAGGTCTGAAGTCTGAAAAAGGTCGGTGGGTTGTAGCAAAGTCAGTTTCCCAGTTGTGATAACGGACCCTAGTTACACGCAGTGTCACCAGAGGGAGAAACGGGGTGGGGGAGAGTCCGTGGATCTCCCTGTATTATTTCTTGGCCCTGTAAGTCAATCTACAATTAGCTCAAGTTTTTAAAAATTTAAAAAAAACGAACAACAACAACAAAACCAGGTCTGCCCTGCTCTAGGAGCTGACCTCTGAATTGTTTTTTTCTAGACTGGTCATATTTCCCTTTTCGTGCTTGCTGCCAGGAAGTTCAGAACAAAATGTGTACCCGCTGTCTAGCAAGTGTGTAGGGCTTCCTGGCTACACGTCTGGCTCTTTCTGTCCTTCCTGCTCTTGTTTTCTCTTTGCCTTATTTGAAATTGCACTCATTTTGTTGTACTGTGAGTATCTTCAAAACTTCTTCAGCACTTTCTGGAATAAAGTAGGGTTTAAACCAGTGAGGCACCGCAGTTTGAGCTGGCACTATGGACATTTGCGTCCCCATCAGGCCAGGGTGCTCTCCACCTTTGCACTTAGTATCACATTACCCTACCCCATCCACTTAAAGGGAGAAAGGCAAGTTTTAATTAAAAAGAATTCATTGTTACCCAGAATCTCATCTTAAATCCACCATCTCTTCCCTTAGCTCCATTACCATCTCAGAAGTAGTGAAGGAGCCAAGAAAGGCTGAGGTACCGAGAGGCGTCCTGGAGGATGATGGTGAGCAGTTATACTTTGCTTTATTAAGCGCCTCCTGTGAGTCTGGAGCTGGGAAATACATTTTTGGCATTTTATCTTCTTTCATCCCTGCAGCCCCTGTCCGAGGCATGTATTATGGTGATCCTGTTCACAGGGGGGAATCGTGAGGGGACTGGGTCTCTGAGGAATGCAGCTGGCCCGAGGTGACCCTAAGCAGGAGTGCCTAGCCACTGCATCCTGCAGCCTCTCCCACATGAGTCTCTGTCCCCTGCCCAACTCATTAGCCACTCTGCGAGCTGCCTTAGGCGGGAGGCTCAGCTGCTGACTCCCTGAAGCCTCTGAGGGCTTGCTGACTTGATTCGGCAGCCGGCATCCCCTCAAGCACCCCATCCTCTCACTGCAGCAGGTAGCAAGTGTGCCTCTCATCCCATGATGCACCGTTTTGTAGTTAGACAGGAGCGATGCCCGCTGGACTGGGAGCTCCTTGAGGGCAGAGATGGGGCAGCCTCGGCCCCTGGGGTGCCCCTGGCGGTGCTGACTCCGCCCCTGTGGGTTGCAGGCTTCCGCCTTTTCTTCACGTCCATCCCTGGAGGCCCTGAGAAGGAAGCTGCTCCCCAGCCCCGCCGGAAACGGTTGCCTTCCAGCTCCAGGTGAGACGGCACACCCACTCCTCCAGTTCCCTCGTTGTTGCCTGTGTTCTGTCTTGGCCAGTCCCCCTGCCCCTGAAATAGCCAGGCCAACTCCAGTGAGGTCCAGGCCCAGAAGGAGCCCTGTCAGTAGCTGGGGAAATAGTACCTCAGTGGGAGGGGGAAGAGTTTCCACTGGCCGTTGGCTTTGGATGTTTACTGCTTTTCGAGCACCCATCTTGTGCCAGACACTGCACTCCTGGGACATCCCTGTGAGGCCTGGGCTGTGTTAAGATCCCCAATTTATAGATGAAGACACTGAGGGTCAGAGAGGTTAAGTCACAATGTGAGGTCACACAGCTGTGAAGCAGAGAAGCCAGTATTGGAACCCAGCTCTGCCTCACTGCCAAGCCTGAGTTCTCCAACTGCCACTCTCTGTCTGTGGCCGCTCTCTGGTGGCTTGGACAGAGGCAGCGAGAGGCGGCTTTGGGGCCCCGTCCCGACTCCAGCTGACCCGGCCTGCACTCCCGTTGCAGCAGCGAGGACGGCGATGAGTTGCAGCGCTGCCGGGAGGCGGCTGTGTCAGTCTCTGACATCATCCAGGAGTCCGCCATCCACGGCCCTGGCAACATGGAGAAAAAGGCAAAGAAGAAGAAAAGGAAGTGGAAAAAGAAAGCCAAGGAGGACAGCACCAACCTCGCCCCCACGGCCACCACCGCAAGCAAGGCCGCATCTGGGGAGCAGGGAAGGGAGTCCACCGGGCTCAACGGAGACCAGGCACCGTTTGGGACCAAAAAGAAGAAAAGGAAGAAAAAGGCAAAGAGGGCCAGTGAGACCTCCCCGTCCCCGCCAGCAAAGAGTGCAGCAGCCATGCCTGCAAACTGAGCCCTGCCTGTGAGCACGGGGCCCAGCTCAGGCAGCTACAGGGTACAAGGCATGTCCAAGCCCCGCCTCCCTCTCCAAGTGCAAGGACTTGGCTTGCAAGTCTAGACGTCGCCCATGACTGGGGCTGGCCCAAGGGTCGGGGCAAAGAAGCAGTTGTAGGGCGAGCAAGGCCTGCCCTTCTGTGCTCCCACTGGGGCTGGGGCAGACCCGTGGTACCAGAACATTCTGTGGTCTCAGGAAGAAGGAGGAGCCTCCCAGTCATTGAAGGCTGATGGCCAAGTGGTAGAGCTTCCGCCTTCTCAGCCTGGTGTGGGACATGACCTGAAGAAAACGAGGGAGGGTGTCCCCGAGGTGCCAAGCCCCAGGAGGAGTTTTGTGCATCTCCCTCCAAGCCACACAGACCTGATATAACATTGTCTGGAAAAGAAGGAGAGAGATCCCTGCCTCCACCTGGTTTTCCAGAATTTTCTTTCTTCACATTGTGAATACACCATGCATGATCATGTCTCTGAGCCAACTGGATAATTGAAAATAAATTGTCGAGGGACCCAGAATGTAACAGAGGGATTTGGGTGCCGCCCTCGTGTCTGTGCTGAATCCTGATGAGCCACTATAAGTAAGCATCACACAGGAGGGGTCCTGCCTACACCCCCAGAAGTGTTCCCCTACCCCAGCGTCAAGACTTCAGGAAGTGTCACAGCACTCGTGGCCTGGGGGATTCGTGGACCTATGTATCCTGCAAGAAGGAGCAGAAGTTCAAGGTGAAGGTGAAGTGCTGGCTTCGTTGCCTGGCCTTGGAGATTCGGCAAAGCAAGGAAGACAGAGGTGGGATGTGAGAGCGTGTGTGCCGGCCCCATCCCTCCTTGGGCTCCTGGTCCCCTTCCGCCCCCCCCGAGCCTGCCCAATCCCATCTGGGCGATGTGTGGACAAGCAAGACGTTTCAACATGTTCCTCATTTACTAAGAGTTAAATAAATGTACAGGCTCGCCCTTAGCCAGCTGCAAGCTGCAGGGGATGCCATTCCCCCCTGGTTCCTTCCTCAATCCAGGATGGAGGCAATCCACTAGGGCTGGGTTGTCTGCAGCAGCCCCAGGGAGATGAGCCCTTGGTTGGCATGGCTCCCTTGTCCCTCAGGACCTCAGCCTCCCCGGGGTGGGGGGCTGTGAACGCCTCCCCTCAGCTAGCTGGGTGCCAAGCTTCCAGGCGGCAAGCTCTCCTCTGGTCTCGCCTCTCTTCTCCCTCTGGGCCCTTCAGCTCTGCCAGCTGCCCCGGCCTTACTGCCTTCTGAGCTTAGCAGCTTCTGCCCCAAAGCAGGGAAGGGTCTGCTGCCCCCCAACCTTGACTTGGCACCAGGTACAGAGTCACGAGTCTCCCATAGGAGCAGGGACAACACCTAGGCCTGCGGGGGTGGGGGGCTTTCCAGTAGAGGTGAGATGTCAGGCTGACATCAGAAGGTGTGATGCACAGGGGGACAGATGCCCAAGAAAACGGGAGGTCATGGCGGCCGGGGAGAGGGATGGCTCAGGACGAGGGAAGCTAGAGAGGCCTGCTTGCCCCAGGCCCTGGCACAGAGGAGCCACTCAGGCGATGCTTATGTGAGGGGGGACAGGTGGGTCCAAATGGGTGTGCGGGTTAAAAGCAGGAAGGAGGGCTGGGTGGAGTGGCCTGATTGGGGCACAGGTGACAGAATGGGGCCACGTTGACCTGTGACCTCTCTCCCAGCTACACAGGCTGGTGTCCTGAGAAGTGTGGCTGGCAGTTCCCTGCGGGGTGCCAGGGATCTCCACAGGCCCGGCCTGGGGGTACCAGAGTCCAAGGCTGCCCCCTTCCGTTCCAAGTGACAAGATTTACCCTGAGCAGCAGGGACAGTCCCTCCCGAGTCCCACCAGGAACAAGCTCTGCTTCCAAGCTCTGCACGGTTCCCTCTTGTGCACTGAAGCAGCCCTCCTCGGGTTCGGGCGCCTCAGAACACCCCCCTTTTCTGAGGGGAACAGGGTGGGGACTGAGGCACAGTTTTCCAGAGAAGAGCAGCAGCCTGGGGGCAGTGAAAGTTTTGCAGGCTCAGATGTCTTGGTCACCCCTGCAGCAGGCTGTGTAGGCTCCAGGGCCCATCCCCTGGGAGGCCGTGTCCATGGTTACTGGGAGGAAGAGGCCATCTGCGTGGAGATGAAGGTCTCAATGACGCTGTGGTTGGATGGCAGCAGGTGGCTATGGCCGTTGGTGGAGTCGGAGCTCTGGTACAACACCAGGCTGCTGGAGGACACTGCAGAGGCAGAGGAGGCCGCTGGCTGCCTGCCACGCCCATCCCGACCCCTCCCCGCCCGCCATCCCTAAGGGGTACTCGGGATGGGAAAGTGGCACCTCGCCACCTCCTGAATCTCAGCAGGTGACCGGACCCCAGAGTCACACCTCTGCCCTTGGGCCTTGTTAACCCCCCGCCAGGCTCCAGGGCCACGAGGGAGTGGCCTTCCCAGCACATTTTAGTGGGAACATCACAGAAGCGCTGGTGAGCCGGTGTCGTGGTTAGTTTTATGCGTCAGCTCGGCTGCCTTTTAGTACCCAGTCATTGAGCCAAACCCCAGCGCAGGCGTTGCTCTGCAGGTATTTTGTAATGTGGTTAACACCTACGTCAGTTGACTTTAAGTAAAGGAGAGTTCCCTTGATAATGTGGGTGGCCCTCATCCAGTCAGTTGAAGGCCTCAAGAGCAAAGGCTGAGGTTTCCTGGAGAAGGAGACTGCAGCATCACTTCCTACCCTGCAGCTCTCAGACTCGCCAGCCCTCACAGTCGTATCAGCCAATTCCTTAAATATATGTGTGTGTGTGTGTATTCCTATTGGTTCTGCGTCTCAGGAGAACCCTCAAGAGAGCATGAATGGGCTTTGAGTTTGGACCTGGGTTCAGGTCCTGGCCCCACTACCTAGTGGCTGTTGGAAGCGCTACCAAGTCCCTCTCCTCCTTCAGTGCTTTCTCATCTGTAAAACGGGGATGCCAACACACACCTCATGGGTAGAGCACAGAGCCTGGACCGTGGAGCCCTCAGTGACTGTCCCTATAGCCACCAGGGCTGGATGGAGGATGCTGAAGCTCACACTTAGCAAGTGGCTGCCCTGGGTCTCAAAGCCCGGCAGCCTGACTCCAAAGTGCCTGCTCTTCACCCTGACGTTGTGGGCTGCAGACTCAGGTCTTCAGGGAATGGAAATGTGTGGGTTGGGTGGGACGTGGTGGGCTGGAGAGCCCACACTCTGTGGTTGCCATGGGGCAACACGAATTCTGACTTTGCAAGAGGAGCCAGAAGTCTATGAAAGCTCTTAATTTTTAGCTGTTGGCAACGAATTCAAAAAAATGCTAAACCCTGAGCTGAAGCAACACATCCATGAGTCACTTCTGGTCCCCAGCAAGCCCAGTTCTTACCTCATGATTACCCCCTACCACCTCTTCCGGTTATCTTTTTTCTCAACTGAGTTAATAGATGTTCCTGTGAGACAGGCCCATTTCCTGTGGTTTCACACCCCCCTCGGCTCACTTCAGGGGAGCACAGGTGCCCCCTCGCATTTACCCCCTCCCTGCCCCCCGTCTGCTGCCCACGACTTCCTCCCCAGCTATGGGGACGGCGGTGGGGGGGCAGGGAAAGGCCACTCACCAGTGGGGCTGGCGCTGAGCCGATGGGTGGGCTGCAGGTGCTGGATGCCAGCAGGGTCCTGGCTGGGGATGTGGATGGTGGCAGCCTGGGACGCTGGTGTGTGAAGCCCAGACTCACTGGAGGCCTCAGCGTCTGAGGTGAAGACCTGGCAGAAGGGCAGCTCTTGAGCCCCCAGGGTGTGCACTGGGGCAGGACCCAGGGAGGGGCCGGGGCAGGCCTGGGCCTTACCTGCTTGGTGGGCGTGAGGCTTGCCAGGGCGCTCAGGTTGGTGGTGTCGGTGATGAGCATGGTCTGCGGAAGCAGGCCCGTGTGGGCGTACTGCGCCACCTCGGGCTTGTGGCTGTAGAGGGCTGGCCGGGAGGGAGGGAGGAGAGAGGAGGACACAGACTTGGCACCTGGGCTGGGCTGGACCCCTCCCAGGAGGGCCTCAAGGTGGGGGGCTCAGGGGAAATGGGGCGTGGGCCTGGTGAGCAGCCCAGTGGGGCAGTGGCTGGGGACTCAGGGCTGATTTCCAAAACTGGGAGCTCCAGGTAGAGGGGTTGGACGCTCTCCCCAACCGCAGGGGCTTGCTCTGCCTGTCTCGGTGGAGAGGAGCCTGGGCGAGGCTGGGAACCCAAACCCAGCTCCTGCGGTCATCTCGAGAGGACAGGTGTGAAGGGCAACGGGAGGCACAGGTGCTGTTAGGGCACTAAGTACCGGCCTTGGAGGGAAAGGCCAGGGCTCCTGTTAGGGGTTGAGGAGGGGGCAGCATTTCTGCATCTCCAGGACCCCTCTCCACAGTCTAACCCAGAATTTCACCTGCAGTCTCCAGCCCCACAAATACACACACAGATGCCAGTAGAAAACAACATAAATCACGTATTCTCACATGGACTCAGATGAAAACACAACCACCCACATACACGCATAAATGGTGCCCTCAACCAAATACACAGATGTTCAAGTCCACAAGCCCTTATCCAAGAGTCCAAGTTCCAGAAAGGTCTGAAAGCCAACAGGTTTTTGTCTGGTTGGCACTAGAGCTCATTTGGTGGCAAAATCTGACCTGAACCTGATGTGAGGCTGAGTCTTTATTAACCCACTTCGTGGAATTCTACCTTTTGCTGCAGGAATCATGGTGTTTGATGACAGGGTGTTGCCCCAAGCCCTGCTGGGAGGTGTGTCATTCATGGTATATGCACCACGTTACCTTTCTAAAAGCTGAGAAATACATATGGCCCCAAGGGCACACGTGGGTGTGCACACACAAACACCCACTCACACAAACCCATGTGCATGCACACGCAACCACACGGGTTCACACACTGAAACGTATTCCAGCCCACAGACGCTCATCTGAGCACCCGCAGAGCCTCCGTCACAGAAGCACTCACACTTGAATCAGACACACACAGACCACAGCATCTGCCAAGCCGCCCTCTTCCCCTGGGCTGAACGACAGCCAGTCTCTCCCACCACCTCCCCCAGCAGGGGGGCTGAGGGGTGCTCACCATGGGGGCTCTGCAGCTGGGCCATGGTGGCCATGAAGGGGCTCTGGGCCACGTGGCTCTGTACGGAGGGCATGAGCGGCTGCTGGTAGGAAGGGTGCAGAGGCTGCGAGAACTGGACGGGCTGCAAGGTAGTCAGGCTGCTGCCCATGCTGTTGATGACTGGCACGCTCTGTGCCTGCGTGGAGGCCAGGCCTGGAGCGGGAGGGGCAGGAGTCAGCCAGACCTCCTGCTGCCTCCATGGCCTCCCCAGGCCCAGCCCTGACCCCCAGGGGCACCATCACTCCCTCCTAGGGCCAGTGGGTAGGAAGAGGGGACAAGGTAATCAGGAAACAGCCTTGTACTAGGAACCTTCACTAAGTTACAGCCCTGGCAAGTTAACTCCCCCTCTGAGCTGCTAGCTCGTCATAAGGGCAGGGGGTGTGTCAAACTAGGGTCCCTGGAGGCCTGGGGTTCCACAACGATGCAAAGGCCCTGGGGCTTAACTCTCTGTACCTGGCTCCCAGCAGCTCCCTGTCTGTCTTATATATTGAGTTTCTGCATAATAGTTCTGAATAAAGTTTTTCTGGGCTTTTTTTTAAAACAAACTAAAACCTAAAACCTAGAAAACTTCAGTCCCCCTTGCTCTGCTCTGTTTTCCCATAGCTGTTTTCCCTTTTAAGGTACTATATAACTTATGTATTGGATTGGCCAAAAAGTTCGTTCGGGGTTTTCTGTAAGCTGTTAGGAAAAACCTGAACCAACTTTTTGGCCAACCCATATTCTGCTTATTGTCTGCCTCCCGACTTGTGTGGCTGAGATTTGGGGCTGTTCGGTCCACTTGTGTATCACCAGTGGAACACGGAGTGGGCACTCAATAAATACATGAAGGAATGAGTCCCAGTGGCTCATCCTGCTCCTGGATTCTGTGGGAGCCCCATGAGCCCCTCACCCAGATGCTCCCGTCTACCCCACCAGCTTACCAATGACCAGGGTGGAGGCGCCCGTGTTGGTGAACGTGGGGCCCAGGGAGGCAGGCTCACCAGGCCCTATGGCCATGACCCCGGGAAGCGAGGCCATGATGAGGTTCTGGGGCTGCTGGTTGAGGCCCGGGGATGTCTGCTCCAAGCTGTGCAGTGCTGTCAGGGTGCTGACAGGGGGCAGGGGGCCCCCAGTGGCCGAGACCTTGGAGGGGAAGCCAAACTGAGTCAGGTGGGGTCCCACCCTACTTCCATGGGGACTGCTCCAGAATCTTCCAGCCAAGAGGAGATTGGCGGGGCGGGGTGGGGGGGGAGATGGGGCGGGACACTCACCAATTTGGCTTCTGTGCTCAGCAGACTGTGACTGGGCTCCAGACCCGTGGGGGACACTTGATGCAGGGGTGCAGACACTGTCACCAAGGGACCACCACTGCTTGAGGGCACTTCCGCCCCCTCACTGGTTGCAGGCTGTCCATAGCGCACTCCTGGAGCGGGAGCAGTGTCCAGCCTCAGCACCCCACTTCCCTGCCCGCCTCCATGGCCCCCATCATTCCAAACTGCATTGGTTTGCGCAGACCCCCCACCCCATCTTTATGCAGCCAGCAGACTTTGCTTGAGTGTCCACTTCCTGCCAGGCCCTGTGCTGGTTGCTTCCAACTCCTTGAACGCAAGTAGGTGCTCAATAAAAGACAACTGAGCCAGGGACTTTCCTGGCAGTCCAGTGGTTAAGACTCTGCGATCCCACTGCAGGGGTCACAGGGTTTGGTCCCTGGTCGGGGTAAGATCCCGCATGCCGTGCAGTGCAGTGTGGCCAAAAAAAAAAGACAACTGAGCCAAACTGAATTGACGGTAATGAAATTAAACCACAGCAAACTTGAGTTGAATAGAATGAACTGGAATTAGTTGAATGAAACTGAGTATCATTGAATCAAACCAGAAATGAATTGAGTTTGATTGAGTCAAATTGAATTGAATTGGATTGAAATTGAACTGATAGAAAATTAACTGAATTTCCTTGAAATACATTTAGTTAAACTGAATCAATTGGGAATTGGATTGGATCAAACTATTCCAAATTTAAATGAACTAAATTAGATTATAATGAGTTGAACTGAATTGAATTGAATTGAACTGAGCTGAAATGAATTGAGTTGGGTTGATCTGGAATGAGTTGAAGTAACTGAAAGCAAGTGAGGGTGGAGTGGATGGAATGGAGTACAGTGGGGAAGTTGAGTGGTCAATGGAATGGAGAGGAGTGGAGTGGATAAAACAGTGCAAATAGAGTGGGGTTGGAGCTGTAAGGAAGTGCTAAGAGGTTTCGGTGGCTGCTGCCACTGGGGTGGTGCTCCCCAACTCTCCCACCCACCCCCATATTCCCTCTACCCACGGTCCCAATCCCCCTGCCCACATGGCACTCACCGTGGACCTTACCAGGGGAGAGGGTCGGTGGGGGCAGGCCAGGGGAGCCGTGGGCAGGCAGCGCAGGGCCTGGGCCTGGCCCTGGTGGTGGCCCGCTGTACGTGTCCATAGCCAGCTTGTGCCGAAAGGCTTCTTCCTTGCGCCGATTGGCAAACCAGTTGTAGACGCGCACCTCTGTGACGAGGTTGGAGCCCAGCCCCTGCGCCTGTGAGGGTGACACCCCCCTCTGGATGCACTCCGCCCTGCAGAAATGGCCACTCATGAGCCTCTGGATCAGGCACAGAAGAACCCTCCCCTGGGGCTGGGGGGAGGGTTCTGAGAAGTAGGGCTCTACCTGAGTATTTGCTGAGGCTGGCAGACCTGGGTTCCGAGCCCAGTCTGCTGTGCAACCTTGAGCAAGTGACTTAGCCTCTCTTAATCTCTTCAGAGTGAGCCCAGTAAGTGTAGGGTTGTAGTGAGGATGAGTGACACGAGCAGCCACTCAAGGGCTGCTTGGGTCGGTGGGGGGTGGGTGCCAGGAATGGAGCTAGGTGTCAGACACTGAACAGGAGCTGAGAACTCCTGGGCCAACAGCAGGAGCTCTCAAAACCTGGGGAGCCTCCCTCAGGACCCAGAGCCCCCCTCGCCTACCCCCAGCCCAGACCAAACCAGCCCTGCTGACCACCAGCCATTCTACCTGTTACACTCCTCCACCAGCGCCTCCCGCTCCTCCTTGCTGGGGTTCTTCTGCCTCTCATAGGCCTGGAACAGGATCTGCTGGGATGCTGGGCCCCATTTGAAACGGTTTCTCCGACCCTTCTTGGTTGGTAGCTCATCGCCCGTGGGCTCTTCAATCAGCCCACCCTGCCCTGCGTGGGTGAACTCTGTGGGCACAGAGAGCCATTAGCAAAACACTGGCCAATCCCACCTTCCAGCATTGGTTCACCATGCTGGAATTGGTTCACCATGCTGGAATTGGTTCACCTAACCATGCCCGTGGTTCTTTCTCATTCCTAGGATGCTGAGCCAGAGGAGCTTACAGCTAGAACTTAGAAATCATCTAATCCAGTGATGACAGACACACAGCACACACACCACCCCTTTCCTAACTTGTGTCCAAGGGAGACATCACTAATCAACCCCTGCGTACTTTGCTACCGGGCCAGGATATAATCTCACAGTCCTCAATACAAGGCTCCAGGTAAGCATCAGCATTTGTTCACATTTGACACATATGCCATCCCATTTTATAGATGAGGCATCTGAGGATCAGGGAGGTTAAATATTTTTCCAGGGTCGCACAGTAGAGCAGAAACTTGAACTGTATCTCCTGAGTAGATTCCGTGCTATTTTCAACATTGCAGACTTGAAAATCAAGCTTAAAGTATAAGTATTAGCCAGGAGAGAAGAGACCCAGACACTTTCTCAGCTGGTTCTTTGGTAGGAGGCCAGTTAATGGCGCCTCCGAATAACAGAACAGCTAGTAGCCCTTCAAAGAGCAGGGGAAATATGTATATAGCCAGTATATACATACAGTACCCCTGGAAGGTTACGTATGAGACCAGGAATGCCAGTGGCTGCCTTAGGAGAAGGACACCTAATTTTTATTGTAAAATCTTTACTTCTATTTTTTATAAATTCAGTGTGTATTACCTTGAAAACCTGGATAATTATAAAAGCAACATCAAAAACATTTTTTTTTTTTACACTTAGGCTCAAAAGTGCGGAAGTGCACTTAGGATTTTGTGGGGTATGAGGCCCGGGTTCCCTAAGCACACACCTCACCTCGGAGCCTCTACTGCCCTTCCTTCTGCCTGAAACCCCATCCCTGCATCTTCATGGGTCAAAATTCAACTCACACTTTAAGACTTAGTCAAAAGATCATACTTCTAGTTGATCCTTCCTGATGCCCCTGCCTCCCTGAGGAAGAGATTATTCTCTCCTCCTCCACCAGCTCAACCTTGGAAACGCTTTCTGTAGTGCCCTGCCCTGGGCCTGGCGCACGGTGAGTGCTCACCGAATCATAATGATTTGTTCTCCTGCTTCCCCTCTACACAGGGAGCTCTTGGAAGGCAGGGGCCCACTTCACCCACCCAAAGAGGATGCCCAAGACCAACCCTCCTCCCCTCCCCCAGAGCGCCTTGCGCAGAACAGCTGATACATGCTGGTTGAATCCTCCCGACTTCCTCTCAGTCTGCCTGTCCGAGGAATGGGGTGGGAGGCTTCCAGCTCCCACCCTCGAGCTGCGGGTAGTCCCAGGCCCTGCCGGGAAGACAGGGCTGCAGTCCGTTATTACTTACGCTGGGCCACCTCTCGCTGCTTGCGGACGTACCAGGTGTACAGGGCAGCTCGCTTCTGTGTCTTCATGGGGGTGCCCTTGTTGAGGTGCTGGGACAGGTGGGATTGGTTGAGGCCGGTGGTGTCGACCACCTCCCGCTGCGGGATGTTGTGCTGCTGCAGGTAGGACTTGACCATCTTCGCCACACGCCATGGGTCCTCCCTGGGGGGGGGAGGCGGGGGGACAAGGACAGGCTGCTCAGCCCAGGGTGGGTGCTGGGAGCCCTGTCCACCCGGGGGGTGAGGATGGTAGATGGAAGCAGGCGTGGAGCCCAGGAGCCTGTACCTAGACTCAGGGACAGGAGGTATGGGCACTCATGCCAGGACACAAGGACATGGGGACAGAGACTTGCAGACACATACACATGGCAGACATGTGGACACAGGCCCCAACCAGTCCCACACAGACATAGGAACAGATAAAGGTTTCGAAACACAGACACACAGAGACATGGATACAGATGTAGACAAAAACAGACTCCCCCGGGAAGCTGCACAAGCCAGATGGGCAGGGTACTCATCTTTGTGCCTCCTTTAAAGATTTCCCGCCCCCCGCAATTCTACCTAGAAATGTTATTTGTGGCTGTGTCTTAACCACTGTGAGAGACTATAAACACCTGGAGGGCAGGAACTGTCTTGTTCTCGGCATCCAAAATAGGCCTGACATAGAGTGTGCCCTTGGTGAATGCATGAATGAATGAGTGGATGGATGGATGGATGGGTGGGTAATGGGATGGTCAGTGCATTGATGGTGGATGGTGGGTGAGAGGATGGATGGATGGATGGATAGATGGGATGTTGATGGGTAGATGTTAGATGGATGGGTGGATGGGTGGGTGGATGGATGGATAGATGAGAGAGATCTACTGGAAAAAAATTGGGGTCTGAAAACAAGGAGAGAAACATGATTCTCCCACTTTACATCCAGGGCCACTGAGGCTCAGAGCACTGTGTCACTTGTATCTCTTGCCGAAGGTCACAGGGTTAGCCCAGTGGAGTCCCACCCCAGCTTAAAGTGTTTGGTTCTAAGTCAGTCTGTCAGATAAAAATCACATAGCATCAAAACGCCTCCTGAAAATCTGCACTAAACCCTAGATGGTGGCGCAGCCAGTCTCCCCACAGCACTGAGGCGGGTGGCTAATTTCTCAACAGAGTCCCAGGTGAAGGGGTTAGGGGCTGGCATCCCAAGGCCTTGTAAGAAAAATGAGTGTGTCTGAGCATGGAATCCCACTCTGTGGGCTCAGTTCTCTCACTCGAGGGATTCAAGGGGACCTGAGGCCACCTGTGGCTCAATCTCCTGTTCTCCGCTCACTGTGGGGAATGGAAGGGGTCAGGTTGCCTGTACGATAGAAATTCTTCTCTCTCCCTCTTCTGCTCTGTCTCAACCCTCCTCTCTTCCCTTCATCCTCTCTTGAGCTTCTGTTACAACCATGTGTCAGATACAACAGTGCTGAAACAGGCAGAGCTGGGATTTAAACCCAGGTCTGTGTGATCCTAAGCCTGTGTCCCCACAGCCTTGATGCAGCAGTTTGCTTCTAGAATTGAGGCATATGTGACAAATGGCATGTGTAGGAAGTGATTCATCTCCATGTTGTTTGCCACAGCCAAAGATTGGAAACAACCTAAGCGTCCGGCAAAAGGATGCTGGTTAACCAAATTGCATGCCTCTGTACAATGCAGCCGTAAAAACCCACTGAGAAAGCTCTGTACAAGCCCAGATGGAACAGTTTGTGTGGTAGGTCTGTTGTGCTATGTGTGTAAAATTTTAAGTGGGATAAAAGAAGATTTCTACATATTTGCTTTGTTCACATGAAATACCAGAAGTATACAGAATGAACTGGAGTCACTGATTGGATGCTGGGGACAGGGTGAGAGGGGAGGGTTTTCTCTGTTATTCTTCTGTACTTCATAAATTATGTATCAATAATATAGTATCATATAATATGCTACATATGCATATATAATGTTTAAAAGTGAATTGTGAAAAAAAGAAAAGAAAAGAAACCCCCCAGTGCTCTGAAGCCCACCCCACACTGCCTTCTCCCCTGGCCCTTCTCTCTTTCCTCAAAGAACCAGTCTCGCCTGCGTCCTTGACAATGCCCTTCCGAGACATGAGGGCACAGAGCCTTTCATCCACTTTGGCCCTCTGACTTCCTCCTTTTTTTATCAGCAGTTCCCATACAGGCAGGGAGGAATGGAAGGTGGGGACAGATATAGTTAATCAGCAGTCGGTCCAGCAAAGTCCCATTTGTGTAGAAATGATAGCCGTGAGAATTCATGTTTCTTGAGTATTTATGGTGAGCCAGGTAAGGGCTGGTCATTTAAATCTTACAATAACCCTAGGAAGTATGCCCATTTTACAGGTGAGAAGACTGAGGCTCAGAAAGGTGAACACTTATCCAAGGTGACTTCGCTGGGACTCAAGAATATTTCACTTTCCTGAACCCCCCAACCTCTCCCCAAGCCCTATCTCCCTGCTTTCGTAGGAGCCTCACCTCCCCCGGTCCCCGGGTGCCAGTCAGAGCTGGGAGGGAAGGGCAGGACAAAGTCCAGCCTTGTGCTCCGTGGCAAACATGTTTATCTGACTCCGGGGCTGGGCTGCCCGATAGCCTCCCTCCTCCCCCAACTGCAGTCATCACCCTCCTGAGAGATCCTCCCTCCCTCTGTCTGTTCTCCAGAGAGAAGGAGCCCAGTCTTCCTTCAACAGGGCCTCTCCTGGCTCAAACTAAAGATTTACTGTCTGTCTCTGTCCTTCTGACCCCATGTGTCTCTATCTGTCTCTGTTTCTCTCACTCTCTCTCCTTCTGTCTCTGTGTCTCTCTGTTTTCTGCTCTCTTTCTCTTCCCCCCTCCCCCCCCCCCCCACAGTCTCCAAGAACATGGCTCTTTGCAGGACATTTTCCCCAACGCAGAACTAAGAGGCCAGGTCTCCAGGCATCTCCTGCTTTCACTCTAATGGGTTTGAGAGTCGAACCAACCTGGGTTCAAATCCCACCACTGCGGCCTCGCGCCCAATGTGCACATGGCCCGCATCTCCCCTGTAACACAGCGGGAAATTCACGCCTGCCTCCCTGTTCTCTATTGGGAGAACTGAATGAGTGTCTAATAGGAGTGAAATGCTGAGGACAGGGCCAGGCACACAGTAAGTGCTCAGTAAGTGGAACAATATTGTTACCATCAGCAGCAGCAGCAGCGACCTAATCCTGGGACCTCCAGCCCCACAGCAGAGGGAAGAGGGCCCAGGAAAGGTGAAGGTCTGCCCACAACCCCCTCCTTCCGCCTCCTGCCAGTTCTAGGGTCAATCAGAGGTTCGAGGCTTTGGGCCTCTTGCTCCCTGGCCCGTGGGGTTTCAGTGGATCCAAGGCTTCAGAGCTGGGAGACCAGCCTGAAGGCCACTCATCCGGAGGGGGAGCCGAGTTCTCAGTGTGAATCCCAGCTCTGCCACTCACTCTCCGGGTGGCCCTGGGAAGTTTCTTAACTTCTGTGCCTCAGTTTCCTCAACTGTGGTAGGGAGCTAATATTTCATAGGTTGTCAGGAGGAGAAAACAAGCTTAATGCACTTGTAAGCACTTCGTGAGTCCTCGAGCACTACGTGGAAGTGGTCGATGGTGACATTAACAGCAAGAATGACCCAGGAGGGTAAAGAGGGAGATAAATGTATCAAGGACAGGCATGCCACCTCAGGGTGCTGTGCAAAGTGTGGGATTAGGAGGACCTGGGTCCAAGTCCTGGCCTTACTGCTTTGTACGAGTTACTTTGGGCAGGTCACTTTGCCTCTCTGAGCTTTAGTTTGCTCATCTGTAAAATGGGACCACTGATAATAGCAACTGTTCGTTGCACTCACATGCTTACCCTGTGGGTAAGCGTTATGATCAGCTCTGCCTTGCAGAGAACACTGGGACTCAGAAGAGTGAAATTGCCTGCCTGAGCAGAGCTGGGGTTCAAGCCCAGGCAGGCTGGCCCCAGTTAGGGATGTCAGATTGCCCCACCTTGGCCGCTGTCTTCCTGGGTCTCAGTGCCTTGGTGCTGCCCAATGGAGAGGACCAGAGACCCTCAAGATTGAGTTTCAGCTGCTCAGGGACAGGAGGGCCCAGGAGGACACTGAGGAAGGAGCCCTGGGAACGTGTTACTCCCTTGGCCATTACAGCAGACATCCCCAGGGCTCAGAGAAGCCTAGTCCCTCATTCATTCATGCTGTGTGTCAGCACTGGGGTGGATATCAGGGGTCTGAGCGGTGAACAAGCCTCTGGAAGAGCTTCTGTTGTCATAGCAGGAGATAGAAAACAGACAAAATAAGGTAATAATAAGTAATGATAAGTTTCAGGGGAAAGTCAATGGAAGTAGTGGAAGAGGGAGTGACTGTGGTGGCATTTGAGCAAAAAGAGGAGAAGGAATTGACCGTAGGAAGATCTGGAAAGAGGGTTTCGGGGAGAAGGTACAACACATGCAAAGGCCCTGAGGTGGGAATCAGCAAAGTGTAGTGTAACTGGAGGAAAGTGAGGGAGGGAGGGAGGTCCGTCAGGAAGAGATCAGGGGATCAGGGCAGGGAGTTTGAATTGTACTCATTGTCCGGGTAGGGAAACGGAGGCAGGAGGAGAAGAGACTTGCCCAAGGTCACACTTGGTCACACTTGGCTTCCACGGGAAGCCCTGCCTCTTCACCATCCTTTCCAGCCTCAACCTCCCCCACTGGCCAGGCCTTCATGGGGGTCCCCTACCCCTCTGCAGCCTGTGCCCTGAGGCTCAAGGCCCCACTTTTTCCCCTCGGGGCGTTTTCAGATCCCTTTTGTTACCTGAACAATAAGTAACCCAGGTAGTTAGTTATAAACCCCGCAGGAACAAGGAGCTGGTTGATAATTTATAGCAACATCTCAAATTTAAATGGAAAGTAAATAGCATGCTGTTAGCATTAAAGAAAACCCAATCGGGCGGGAGGCAAGCACTCCAGCCTCCCTGCAGCTTGGGGCGCCTCGCTCTCTCCCCAGCCCATTCTCCCAGCTGCGTGTCAGCCCCTCTTCCCTCCCGGCTCTGCTGGTCCGCTCCACTCTGCTTCTCCAGGCCTCTCTCTCCATCTCCCCTAACGCCCTGTCTCTTCCTCCATGTCTCCCCTCTCTCCCTCAGCTTCCAGGTCTCTGCTGGTTCCCAGGGAGCACTTTGACCCCTGCTTCCCGCTCGAGTGCTGTGGATCAAGCCTTTCCCTCCACCCATCATCCCACCAAAGGGGCTGCTGATCAAGAGGCCCCACCCAGCCAGGTAAGGCCTTTGGCACTCCCTGCCCCCACTCTCCCCCGAAAGCCCCCAGTCCCATCTGGGGCCCTGAGCAGGACTGGCCCTGCCCCACCCTTGTCCGGGTTGCCCTCGCCCTGGGTCTGGAGATGCCAGACTCTGCCCCTCCCCTGCAACGCGGCAGGGCCCTTTGCCCTCCTCTTCCTGCCAAGTCAGGGGGCCCTGGCTACTCCCCTGCCTCCTGCCCAGGCCCTCAAAAGGCCTGTCAGGCCCTGAGAGCTCCCTGAGGCAGGGATCCAGCCCTCCCCAACCCCAAGCTGGGATCAGGACCTTGGACAGAAAAGAGGTGGTCTTTGGGACTCTTGCTCAGAACCCCCAGACACCCCCAGCTGGCCCCTGGCCCCGGTCATGGTGACTGAGGGCACCAAAGAGAGTGGGTGTGGAGCCCCAGCTGGGTGGCCTTAGTCCAGCTCCGTCCCCCTCAGAGCCTCAGTTCCCTCATCTGAGGAGCAGTTGTCCCCAGGTGCCTCCAGAGTTCATCTCAACACTACCCGAAATGATACCTGTGAAACCTCAGCACGTGCCCACCTGGCTGTTAGGATAGAGGTTACAGAGCCTTAGGGGAGGGGCAGTCCCTGCAGCCCCCAGGTTCCCCTTCCCTCACCTCCAACCTCCCCCACCCCTGCTCCGTGTGAAGTTGGTTGGCTCAGGCTTCCCCAGGCTACCAGCCCTCCAAGTTAATGATCACAGGCCTTATCAGAGCCTTTTGCCATTTATAAATTTATAAAACAAAAGAGAAATAATAAAGCCCGTGGGTAATTAGTAACCAGGTCAGCTCTGCTGAGGAGAGGGGAGGCATCGGGCTCAGACCCACCCAGTTCTCTGGGAGATGGGGAGTCAGCCAGTGGGTGGGGTACAGAGTGGGGAGGCTTCTAACGGTACCCACTGGTGAGGGGCATGGCCTGAGGCTGTGCCGGAAAGGGGAGCAGCTCCCTTCCTAAGGCTCCATTTCCCTCAGGTAAGAAAGACCTGGGTTCTGCTGACTGAATGCTTAAGTTCCGGGGAGGCCAAGCGGGCCCCCCAAAACCCCAGCCTGGGCTCCCCCTCCCCACTGGTGCATCCGGGTGCCTAGCAGGGAAGTTGGGATTGGGGGAGTAGAAATGGGCATGGTAGCTAAAAATTCCCTGCCTCCCCACCCCCGTTGTCCAGGGACTAGAATCGTGGACTCTGCTGCTTTGTCCCCATCTTGGGGCTCCCCTGGGGCATGCCCCACTTCCCAGGCACCGGGCTGAAAGCCTTGGCTCATGGAGACTCGGGACCCCGCAGAGGGCCGGGTCAGGGGCTGGAGGCTCCAACCTCCGAGCTAGGACCCCACCCCACCCCCGCTTCCAAGCTCTAATGGGCCCTGTCCCCCTTGCCGACAGCCAGCCTAAAGGCTACAGCCCATGGGACTCTGGACTGGCAAGGGCTGGTCAGGAGCCGAGGCTGGGCCCCTCCAGGCTCCTTGGGAGCTGGGGACAGGGGAGGGGTCCTTACTGCAGCAGGGTCTCCACCACGGCTTTCTGGTGGGCTGCCTCCTCGGGGCTGAGGTTCTCCAGCTCTCTGAGAATGGGCGGCGTGAAGTCTTCCCCCTCGTCGTCCGTCTCGTCCTCGGAGCCCCTCGTCTCCCCCAGCCCATTGGGCAACTCGGCCAGCTCCCCTCGACCGCCGCCACTGCAGGACTCCCCCTTGTCCGGGGGACCGTCTCCGGCCAGCAGGTAGGGCCCCGGCTCACCCAACGCCTGGATCAGCGCCTCTTTGCTCAGGCCCGACTCGAGCAAGGCCGCCAGGAGCTCCGTCTGCAGCTGGCTCAGTTTAGAAACCATGGCTCCACTAGCGCGGGCCACGCGGCCCAGGGCCACTGAGCCGGCCGCCTCCCGCCCCCCCGGCGTGGGCTGGCTCCGTGCTGGCCGGCCAGCAGGCAGGCCCAAACCAGGCTCCTTGCGCCCGCTGCCCCCCCAAACCCCACTAGCCAAGCCCTGTGGGCACCCCCAACCCCCAACCCTGGCCCCAGTGGCCAGTGAATCAGGGCCCCTGCCCGCTCTGTTTACATTGGAGCTGGGGAAATTCTCCAAGGTTCATATTTATCCATGTGCTTAGCGAAGGGACTGAACTTTGGACTTCACCCTGCAAAGTGCAGGCCTCATGGCAGCGCAGAGGGACAGGGAGCCGTGGCCTTCCATGGGAGTGGGCAGAGCGGAGGGCGGGGGAGGCAGCGGTGGGGGGCCCAGGACAGCTGGGATGGAAGGTACTGGGAGCCAGGGAGGCCTTCAGGTGACCAGCATTGGGTCCCTCCCCCAGCGACCTCGTAGGGTGCCAGGCTGAGGCAAGAGAACAAAAACAGCCTTGGGAACAGAAACAGCAGAGTTCTAGGCTGTCGGGTCAACTCTCCTCAAGGGCAAGGCTAGGACACATCCATCTGAGGACCCCCCACTGCCAGCCCCAACGTCTGGCCTCCCAGGAGGGAAAAACGCGTTGACTAAGTCTACTGTGGGCTGGGTCTGTAACGAGTGTCATTACCTTAGTGTAGCCCCCTAACAGCCCCCTAACAGAGTAGGTACAGGGATTGTGCCCATTTTACAGAGGAGGAAACTGAGGCTCTGAGAGGGTAAGCAACTCGCTCAAAGTCACACAGCTAGCAGGGACAAGATTTGTGGAGTGGAAGCAGGGTGTGGCCAGTGAAGCACTTGGTGCAGGTGCAAATTTTAAGGGGATATCAAAAAACTCAAGATGAAATCAAGATGAAAAAATATTTTTATATACTCTATTAAAAATTCAAAATTCATGCAAAACCCAAAAGAACTTAAAAGAAATGTCCACACAAAAATTTGCCTGCGAATGTTCTCAGCAGCGTGATTCACAAGAGCTAAAAAATAGAGAAAACATAAATATCCATCAGTGGATGAATGGATAGAAGAAATGTGGTCTCTCCGTGCAATGGCATGTTATTTGGCCATAAAAAGGAATGAAGTCCTGATTCATGCTACAGTAGGCATGAATCTTGAAGACATCATGCTAAGTGAAAGAAGCCAGACACAAAAGGCCATCTATTGTATGATTCCATGTATAGGAAACGTCCAGAATAGGCAAATCCATACAGACAGAAAGTAGATTCGTGGTTGCTGGGGGCTGGGGAGGTGGGGGTGGGCACAGGGAATGGCTGCTTAATGGGTACAGGGTTTCTTTGGAGATGATAGAAATGTTCTAATATTTATGGGGTGATGTTACACAACTCTGTGAATTTACTAAAAACCACTGAAGTTTGCAGTTTAAGAGGGCAAATTTTATGATCTATGAATCAATAAAATATACTTTTCATTAATTTGAAAAATTAATGCCAAAAATCTGTGATGAACAAAAAATATCAAAATGTTAAATAAAGGCAGGTTCCAACCCTCACTCACCTCCCGCTAATGCCAGTCCTAGGCAAAAACTCATCCCCAACCCCCACCCTTCCCTCTTCCGGTAAGAGCCTGGACAAAAATTCCTGCTGTCTGTCCCCTGGGGTGGCCCTAAGCTCCCAGAACAAGGGGTGTGCACCATTGCCTGGAGTGGGCAGGGTGGTGCTGAGGGACTGCCCCCAGGCTGGGGCATCTCTCAGGGGTCTGCAGAGCCAGGGTCATGCTTGGCAATGGTGGAAGGGAGAAGGCGCCCTTGGCCAGAAGGCCCTCCCTGCAGGCCAGGCTAGGCCAGCAGGGGGAAAGGGGCTTCTTCATTTTTGCACTCACCTGACACACTCAGCTGTTGTGAGGCCCGTGCGGCCACTGAGCACTTGAAATGTGGCTGATGCCTCTGGCTGAAATGATAATATTTTGGATCTACTGAGTGAAAGTTTTTAATTTTAAAACTAAATACTTTAAAAATTAGAAAACTTAATTTCACCTGTTTCTTTTTCCTTTTATAATGGTACCACTGGAAACTTTTGAATTATATTTGCGCCTCACATTCTATATTGGACAGCACTGCTCTGTAATTTACTTACACGTATGATGTTTATTATTTATGGTCTGTCTGCCTCTGCTAGAGTGTCGGGTCCCCCACCCTCGCTCCAGGGCAGGGCTTTTGTCTGTCTTGTTCACTGCTGTATTCGCAGTGCTTAGTATGTTGCCTCATCCGTACTTAGTAGGTGCTCAGTAATATTTGTGGAATGAATAAATTTCATTGCGCACCGCCCAACGTATACTTAGCTCTGCACCAGGCTTTAGTAACGTATGAAATGCTCAGAACCGCTCTGTGAAGTAGGCACTGTTACTCCCAGAGCCCGGCCCTCTGCACAGGATGGTGCTGGCAGTTGCCCCATGAGGACGTGGGCCCCCCACATTGCTCTCAGTGCTTCCCTTCTCCTCTAGCACAAGTAGCTTTGGGGTCAGGCAGCTCACTACTGGGGGCAGAATTCTCAAGTCCAGCTAAAGGACAGGGAAGATGCTGCATGCTGTCCCTTCGCAGTTTCATGGCTCTCCTCCTTGCTACCCCGTCCAGGAGGCTGCTTGCCGCCTGCAGCTGCCCTCGGAGACTTTCCTCTAGAAGACGGAGCCAGACAGGGTGGGGCCTGGGTACTTTGCACAACTTTTGGGCTCATTGACTGCTGGGTCCCCCCCCCACCCCGGCAGCCAGGTGGCTGAACTGGTGACTCCGGGACTGAAGGTGGATTTAGTTGGGAGGAGAACAGTGGTGTGGGGCGGGGGGAGCCTCTAGGGTGTCTAAGGAGAGAGACCCTCAGGGTCCAACTTCAGCTCCAGTACACACAGAGGCTATTGTCCTGGCCCCCCCCCCCAACTAGGGCTCCCTCTGAAAATGAGAAGGGTGTCGGTTATTGATACTTGGCAACAGACAATGGAAACGGCGGTTCCAGCCCCCAGCCTGCCCTTCCCCACAATCAGGGGACACAACTAAACAGACTCAGAGGTTGGGAGAGGCATTTTGCCTTCTTGAGAATCATTCAGGACCTAGTGTGCATTTCATGGGCCCCCCACAAACACACCCCAACCCCGCACTGGGTGGCCTCAGGCACTGAGTTCGCCTTTCATGACTTATTTATAAAACAGAGGTGTAGATCTCCTAGGGTTGCTTGAGACAACTTTGTACACCTAATGCAGAGATTTGTTGGGCTCTACACAACTGCTTAAACTTTGGAATTAGATTGGACGTAACCACCTTCATTTCCTGTTCCACAATCATTTTTGCACGATATTATTAGAATAACTGCCATAAACCCAGTTTCACAAAGTTATGACATCATCTAACAAACTGCAAACTACCTTGAGCTAGCGCAAGGTGGGCGACAGATGTCGCTGTGTTCCTTTCAAAAATCCTCTAGAATATTCTGTGGCTCCCAGGGGCACCTCGAGGCGTAGTTTGGGAACTGCGGACCTAAGGGATGGTCTTGGACACAGAGGGTGTTCAGTAAACCGTAGTTGTGAACTTTATCACCATTCGCGCCTACTGAGTGAGTAAATGTTTGCAAAACCGAAGTTCTGGCAACGCACAAGTCTTCTCCTTGGCCTTAGGAAGCGGCGCAAGAGGGGTGCCCCGTCAGCCAATCTCAGGGCTCTCTTGGAATTTAATCGCCAACCCTACCACCCCACCACCCCCACCTCGGGGCACACCTGTATTCATACTTGGACTATTCTTCCTCCCAGCCCCACTACCTTTAACCTTTTAACCGTTTAACCTTTATTGAGCAGTCGCTGGTATATGCAATTTTCATGCTTTTTCTCATTTAACATCTCAACAGCCTCATGAGGTAGGTACTTTTATCCCCATTTTACAGATGAGGGAACTGAGGCTCTAGGAGGCTATGTAAACTGCTCAGCTAGTGCTTGGCAGAGCTAGGATTTGAATCCCGATCTCCCTGATGCTAGAATCCAAGCCCTTGACCACTATTCCACACTACCTCTTTCTGTGAGGCAGTTCACTCTCATTAAATACTTGTTACTATTATTTTGTTGTCATCGTTGTTTTGTTGTTCTGGTTAAGCGTAACTCTGCTCATTGGACTTGTCACCTTTGTGTTGGTTTTACAGATGAGGAGACTGAGGTGCTGAGGGAATAAAAGAGTGATTAAAAGCCAGACTGCCTGGGTTTGAGCCTGGCTCTGACATTTACCAGCTTTGTGACCTTGGGCAACTTGCTTAACCTCTCTGTGCCTCAGTTTGCTCTTCTGTACAATGATAATGAAAATGCTATCTGCCTCGTGAGTTGTTAGGAGGATTAATGAAGTAATACACAGAAAGCACTGTGCCTGGCACATTGTAAGCACTCCCCACTACTGAATGATAATCATTACCTGATTACTAAAACAGCCGTTCCACTCCCATTACCCAGGCTGAGTTTTCTTCGTTTGCAAAAGTTCTCCACATAAGAGTCCCTGCCACCCACTTTATTTGACTCTTAAGCCCCACCTACTCTCTATCCAGTCACACTATTTGCCATCTCCAGAGCATACCTGAAACTGTCTCCCATCTATGACTTTTGCACAAGCTGTTTTCCTGGAGACCCTCACCTGTGAACCTCAAGATCCTCCTGGGTCTCCTCCTGATCCCTTCTCCTTCTCACAGCAACATGAACCTTCACTAGCCAGCCTTCCCTAACTCACTGGAGCAGGACCAGCAGCAACAGAAAGCCTTGGGTTGAGGATTAGAAACTCAGATTCCTGACTCCACACTCAAAGGGTTCCTTTAGTAGATCTGGGGTGAAGCCCAAAGTGTGCACACTCCTTGCATCAAAGGGCAGAGAACTGAATAGTATTCTCTGCAAATCAACAATAAGTGTGGTTGTATGTATGTGTTTGAGAAAGATGTGAAAGGACATACTCCAAGCTGTCAGCATCAGTTCTCTTTGGCAGAGCGGAATGCATTAAAAAAACAAAAACAATAGCAGGAGGAGAGGAAGAGAAATAAAGAAAAGAAACCTCAAAAAAAAATTGTAACTCTACAATATCTTCAAGGTAATAGATATTAACTAAACTTATTGTGGTAATCATTTCACAGTATATATGGACGTATATCAAATAATGTTGTACACCTTAAACTAATATGATGTTATAAGTCAACTATATCTCAATAAAATTGGGAAAAAATTAGTTTATGTTGATGATTGCCCAACTATGATAATATACTAAAACCATTGAACTGACACTTTAAATGGGTGCCATATGGTGTATGTATTATGTTTCAGTAAAGATCTTAATAAAAAAGAAAAGGGGACTTCCCCGGTGGTCCAGTGGGTAAGACTCCATGCTCCCAATGCAGGGGGCCCGGGTTCGATCCCTGGTCGGGGAAATAGATCCCTCATGCGTGCTGCAACTAAGAAGTCCACATGGCAAAACTAAAGATCCCACATACTGCAACTAAGACCTGGCGCCGCCTAAATAAATAAATAGATATATTAATTTAAAAAAACCTAAAAAACAATGGACCTTCCCAAGCTTAAAAAAAAGAAAGAAAGAAAAGAAACCTCGATAAAATATTGCATGTATAATGAAGTGACTGGGTGTGTATACGTGTATCAGTATAAACCACAGTGAGCCATGTGGAAAGATGATCTTCAAAGGTATATTTGCAGTTATTGCTAGGTGGTAAGATTTCAGGTGATTTTTACTTTCTTGATTATCCTTGTCTGTATTATTTGAATAGTTTAACATGAATATTTATTTTCATAGATATAAAATAGAAAAACAATAACATTATTTTTATGGTACCTCCTCCCCACCCCCCCAATGAGCCAGATTCCCCAGGCTATCGTGATGCCCACAGTTCTGTCCCCCATCTCAGGTGTTTGTCCCTGGACCCCCACCTGGCTGTGAGCCACAGACGGCAAGAACCATGGTATCTCTATTCCTGGGCGCCCAGGGCTCCCAAGTGCTATTACCTATGCTAGTGGAGCTCCAGACACAGCTCATGCTCAGGAAATAGTTGCCGGATGGAGCCCCATCCAGTGTTTCTGAATGCATTTCTCATGATTTCCTGAAGATGTCTTGTCAGTTCAATTAGATTGTAAATTCTGTGAGATCATGGAGAGCCTTGGCCTTCCTTTTACTCCCTTTGCCCCTGCCCAGCTCTGATCTGGGCACATAGTGACCCCGAAGGGTAG